CTCTCCTCCACAACATGCTTATTCTCATGGTTAACAGCAAGGCAGAATATAATGAATGGAAAATGCTCAGTGTTTAAAATGGAGCACACCAGTGTGTCCCACCAGGATCTATGCTAGGGCTTGTGATTTTTGATGTATTCATAAATAGTCTGTGTGTGAGCAGTGAGGGGGAAAAGTTTGATGGTGAGGCTGAGGAATGCAGTGTAGTGGAAATGAGAAAGATCTCATAATCAAAGCTGGGGGATAAAATGACAAATTAAAGTGTGGGTAGGTGTAATTTACAAGGAGAAGTCTAACTGTGCAAAGGTGTTCAGACCAGTTATCCCCAAGTGGGAAAGTGGCCTGGGGATCAGTTACAGGTTTTCTTCCTTCCTCCTCAGAGAAAGTACAGTGGAATTAAGAAGCGGACAAGGGGAAAGGGAAAATCAAATGGATAGGACAAAGAAGACAGCCAAGGGAGACAAACTGATGTGTTGAGAAACCATTTGCAGTGACTGAGGTAATTTGGAAATGATTACTTGTTTTGTTTTGCAGTATAGGAACAAAAACATATTAATTAAGAAATGACATAGCAGGTTGAAGCAAATTTAAGTACTCTTTATGAATTGAGGAGCTTCACTCACTGGAGGGAAGAACCATCTGGACTCTGTCCTCTGCAAAGTGCTCTAGGATGACACTGCTTCAACAGGAAGGCTGGACCAAATGTGGTCCTTTCCAATCTTACTCACTCTGTGACTCTGTAAATCTGAGGAATTAGTTAACTAGGATTTATGGGATGCAAAACAATGCAGAATGGATCAAAGGCAATCAGGTTCTCTCACAGAAGAACAACCCAGCAAGGACCACTAGGCAAAATGATGCTTTGGTCAGAGTAAGATTAAGCAGAGCTCAATCTTGATTAAAGATTGCTGAAAACATGTGGCTTTATACCTACACTGCTCCTCCATCTACTCCAACCACACCCCACTGGCCATCTTCACAGAAAGAATCTGGTGCTGGTTTGTCCCCTAAATCTCACAGTGGTTTCTCTGCTCTTGGGCTGCACCAGGAGGAGCAAGCTGATATGCAAAGCCCTCGTCAAATAGCCAGTCCTAAATGTTGTTGCACAGCAGAGTCACACCATGCAAGAACTCGGTATGGATAACAAAGTTAGCTGGAAGACAGCAAAAGACTGTATCTCAGAGATGCTGTCACAACACTCCATGGTCACTTGACAAAGGCTGGAGGGAGGTTAAGGATAGTGTGGAGTAGCCCTTGTCTGGGCTGATGGCCAAATTAGTCTTTTAGACACATTTGGGGAAGGAAACACGTCAACACACTCTATAAAGTTTTCCAGGAAGAAAGCAAACAACATGAAGACCGCTCTCATGAAAAGAGTGTAAGTGCCATACCAGTGGTGAGGTTACAAGCATTACTAAAATTCAAATGTACACCAGAGGTGATGGCCAGACTGAGGGAAGGAGAAGAAAAAAACAGAACTGTGAAAAAAGGGAACAGGAAAAAATGGAAGGAGAGTGAAAATTCTGTTTCAGCCAGCCTGGTGGAGAATTGCTGGCCAGATACCTCAAGGGCCAAAGGCAAGACGGAGTTTTAGTTCGGACAGGACAAGACGAACCTGGAGTAGATCTTAATCTGAGAGTGATTGGCTAAAATGTCTGCAGCCAAGATCATTCAAATGCAAAGGATAGAGGAATGTAACAAAGGGGCACAAAACCCTTCTGCAAAAACAAGCAGGTTAGGGAAGCTCTCTAAAGGATGGTATGAAACACCAGTTATAGAGTAGGGATGATGATGATGAAGTGTAGGGGGATGATGATTAAGGCCCAGGTTATAAAATAAAATTCATCCCAAGCCTTCAGGGCCCAAGCCTTCAGAGGAGCACTTCCATTTCTGACTCCTTTGGATTGCAAATCCTTCTTGCTGCTCTTCCCAGTTCCTGTGTTTGTGCTCCTATCCTTCCTCTCAGAGCTCAGCTTAAGTCCTATGGGGAATGAAATGCAGTGCTCAGGAGATCCATAGGCTGCCTGACCCTCTTCTGGGTGCTGCCCTGCTCACCCAGCCCAGTAAAGCCTGGTATTTGTTCTCTCTGTGGGAGAGCAAATGTATAAATCCTATACATTTCATCACACAGTAGCTGAACTATAGCATGATAGATCACAAAAGGTCTTCCCACCCTGGCTTACATGATTTATTCTTTGCTTTTTTCTGACACATAGCTTTCCAAGTGTCATAAGGTAAGATGCTACTGTAGAAAATGAGGTAGTGCTGCTTATTTACTTGGTCCTCTTCAATGGATAATTGGATCATAGAATCATAGAAAGGCTTGGGTTGGAAGGGACTGTAAAGACCATCTTGTTCCAACTCCCTGCCACAGAATGGGACACATTTCACTAGACCAGGTTGCCCATCTAGTCAGGCCTTGAACACTTTCAGAGATAGGGCATCTACAGCCTCTCTGGGAAACCTGTTTCAGTGCCTCAGCCATGCTTACAGCAAATGATTTCTTCCTGATATCTGATCTAAACCAACCCTTTGCCAGTTTGAAGACATTGCCCCTAGTCCTATCACTACAGCCTCTTGTGAAATGTCTTTCTCCAAGCACTCTCACAGCTTGTCTTCATAGGTGAGGTCATCTTCAGTGAGAAGATGAAATGAATTCTTAGCTTTCACACAGTGCTGACTTTGGCCATGAGCTCGGGGCACGCAGGCAAAGACCATAACAGAGATATCAAATCTGCATTTTATTCTTCAGCAGCCTATTGTATTCCCAGCTCTTCCTCCAGTTTTTCCCAACTGCTGGCACACATTTGTGCCCATGAAGTCCAGCACCAGCCACACTGCTCTCCAGAAGCTTGGCTAGACTTTGTGTGTTGGCAGGGCACTGGCTGTTTGCTAATGACTCTGCAAACCAGAGCCCTGCAGAAATTATGCCAATGTCTCCCGTGTTGCATAACCTCCTCTGACCAGCAGCTTCTCACCCTCTCTTCCCTTGGTTCCCTCCTGCCTTGTCACAGAAAAAGCACAAGTAACAGATGTGAGAGAAACCTGACCTGCCAACACAGGTGTGCTGCCTGGGTCTGTGCCAGGCTCCTGGCTGCACACACTGTGATTCAACCAGCACCCATTGCAACAGAGGCAACAGAAATCTGTGATTGATCTGCTCGACTCTGGGGAAGCAGAGATGCTATGAAGACCTACCAGGGAATTATCCTGACCATCCCCTCATGTCATTCCTCTCAGTGTCACTAGTGACCTGTGCCTCCAGCAGCACCCAGGAAGCACTGGAGGCACTGCTGGGGAGGAGCTCTTCACCACTGTCCTTGGCTCAGCATGATCCCTGCCAAGCTACAGGAGCTGTTCTGCAGCTGGATCTTAGCCCTGGGCGTGCACCATATTCTTGGCACAGGAATTAGGAAAGAGTTACTGAGGGACTTCATTACTGACATGCATTCCTCACACATGTCTCAGCTCTGTGCACAAGTTCCTAGAAAAGTTTTGACCACAAGCAGTTCTATGTGCTGCCCAGAAGGCAGGCATCCCCGCAGCCCAATGGTGGAGGAAACTAAGGAGAACGCTGGAAAAGAAGCCAAGACTTCCCAGCAAAATGCCCCTTGGCTCAGCCAGGAAGAATCTGCCAACAGCAGCCTTTGACTGCCTGGGCTAGTTCTCTCCTGAACAGCTTCAAAGCAGCTGCCAAAACCCAACATGAGGAAGAGAAAAGGTGTGTTAATGCTGCAAGGCAGTGTTGGGGAGAGCCAGGAACAGCCACTGCTTCCCTGTCCTCCAGCCAGCAGCGCTGCCTTGTGATCCAGCACAGCTCAGCACCAGAGCAGAGGGAAGGATGAGAAATAGCCCCGTGACTAAAGGCAGTGCTGAGACACTGCAACCCACACCCTGTAACACACTGATAACAGCACCAGCCATGGACACAGCCATGGCCCCAGGGAAGGGGCAGGTGGTATGGGCAGCTTGGCTGTCCTTTGGAGCAGAGCCAGGGAAAGAGAGCCACAGGGAAATGAGGCTGGCTGGGAGGAGAGATGTTACAGGTGGAGTAAGGAGCACTACGGAAGTATTTCAAGCATAAGTATTACAAGAGGAGTCACTGCTACAGGTAGCAGTTGTATGTCAGGGTTAGTGCACCACGTGCCTTCAAGCTTCTCTACTGAGACACTTTCACATGATCCCATGTCTGCCCCCAGAGGTGTTAGCTGCTTTTTCATTTGCCACTTGTGGCTGAACTGACTGCAGGTAACAACAGTAAAGAAAACACTGGGCTTCTCCATACAGGCAAAAAGAAAAAAAAAAAAAAGACATTTATTTTAAAAGGTAGGAGAAACAGAACAAGTAATATGGTCCTTTACATTCCACACCCTCTACCCACCCTCAGTGTAAAGCAGCATGTTGTCCAGCCTGGACTTGTAGAGTTTTCAGCCAGGATGAGTGAGAGGGTTTCATCAATGATTCCCTGACTTTAGCTCTGGTTAAGGACTGTGCAGGAGTGTGCCAGCACACTGATGCAAGAGCAGTGAATCCCCTTTACAAGACAGATCTTCTTGACCTTGTCTCAGCTTCTGTTCAAGTGCTCCTGCACTCAACAAAAATGACACTTCAGTTTTGCTTTTTACTGCCCAAGCTCAACTTCCCTTGGCTCCCAGAGCAGCAGAGACACAGGACCAAGAGCATATTGAAAGAGGTAGGTAATCAGATATTTGTGACAGAACAGGATGTTGGGAGATACCCAGTTTGTGACCATCCACAGTGCTAGGTGGAGTCTCCAGCAACACTGAAGTACTAACACACAGCCTGTCAGGCACTGTGGGTCTGTGCAGAGTGTGACTGTTCCCATCCTCTCCCCTCTGCCAGGATCAGACTGGTCCAGATACTGCAGGCACAGTACTGCTCAGTGCTGAGGAAAGTGAACTTCTGCATCAGCCCTGTCTGAAAGCACAGGGCCAGCTGAGGGCAGCAAAGAAAAGTAGAAAAAAAAAAAAAAGGAAAAAGGCTGCAGTATCTCTGGATGAGTTCATTGTCAGGCAAGGCCCAACAGCACTGGAAGAAGACGGGTCTGAGCCACTTGGACCTGGAAGACAATCAAGAAACACAACTCACTGGAGGATACAAAAGGATTCCATTTAAGTATCCCAGTACAACAAGCCTGCAGGTATGTATGCAGATCCCCACATTCTATCTTTCTTCTGTCTGATCTTTGACACAGAGAGCATCCCCATGATACCTCAAGGAGTGGGACACAGAGAAACAAAGCAAAGCCAAACGCTTCAGGAAGTATTGAAGAGTTCCTATCTTTCTCAGCTATGAAGACAAACACAAGACAGGCCCCAGCTAAAAAGCTTTGCTCCAGCATGACTTCCAGCATGGGAGCAGAACCACGCAGGAAACTTAGCAATCTTCCAAACACTTGGAAGCACTGCAGTGGGTCAGCAGGCAAAAGCATGGTGTTCTGATCCCTCTCCATGCTCAGCTGACACAGACCAAGATCCTTCCAGAGCTGCACTACAGCACCACTACAGCTCCCACCTGCCTTCAGCAGCTGAGTAGGTTAGGAGACCTGCATGTCCACCAGATACTTCAGATAAGGCAGAATCATTCAAAAGGCCACTTCTGGACCCTGCCAGACCTTCGTCACCCACCCACTGTATCACAATCTCAGTCACTAGCTGTGTTTCCACTGCTGAGACTTTGCTGAAAAGTCCTCTTTACAGCAAAAAAGTTGCTGCTTTTTCCCCTGTTTTGAGCCTCGCCTTCAGCTCTCTACCTCTCTTCAGCTCGCAGCCTCTGCCACCCTGCAGGCTCCCCACCACCACTGCCCCTCCACCCCAGGAAGCTACTGCAGCTGACCACTGAGGCGTGCATTCTGGTAGCCCTCCTCCTTCCAGCCCCAGCGCTCCCACAAACGGTGAGCTCCCTCCAGCAGCCTGCCCACTGTACTGCAAGCATGGCAGCTTTTCCTTGGTCTCTGTGTAGTCCTGGGATGGAAGCTGGCCGCTGCTCTCTGTTTTTCCTGCTCTATGTAACTTGTGGCCAAGAGATCCTACAGATGTAACATGAAGGGGAGAGTTCCTTTGCTCCTCCACATCCCAGGAAACTGCTGTTTTCCCTCCTGTACACTACCTCCTCTTACCGTGTCACCCAGGCTGTACATCCTCAGTGCAGTGAGCTCCTCTCTTTAGACTTGCTCATGGGAGTGGAAGTGAACTGTGGCGAGAAGTAGAGAAACAGCATTGGCAGGGGAGCACAGGCTGGCAAGGAATATTCCAAGGAACACAGTCTTGATCCCAAGATCACCAAATAAAACCTATGACACAGAAGCTAAGAAACCAAGTTCTAGCTGTGGAACACTTGTGCCTCCTGCCTCTGGGCAGGGAAATTCCACGTGTCCTAGAGGGGCTGTGGATTAGCAGAAGATATGCCTCAGCTCACCTGCTGGATTTCCTGCATTGCCAGGCGTATGGAAGAGCGGAGGCGAAGGAAGGCTCGTTGGCTGCTCTCTCCAGAGCCAGGCTTTCTGCTACTCTTGTCTTGGGTCTCCTGGTTTTGGAAATTCTTGGTCCTCCTGAACCACTGCAGAGCAGATGTGCCACTGGAAGCTATAGAGGGGCAGGACTGCTTCTCTGGATGGGTCTCCCCCTTGTCTGCTGGTGAACTTAGTGTGAGACTCTCCAGATCTTTGTAATTCAAGCTCTCACTACTTTTCTGGAGAAAGGAGGAGTGGATTCAGCAGTGGTTTGCAGACCCTTCACACACACTGAACAGCACAATCAAGACAAACACCCAGCTGTGTCCACTGCTGACATTCAGGGGGCAGCAGGCTGTCATCATTTGCCAGTGCCTCTCCACCACCTCAGGACTCCCTAACTAACAGCATTTCCTAGTGCATGCAGAAGCAGCCAAGCTGCTTGGCCAAAATGGAACACCCCTCAACAGGAACATATAAGAGATGCTGCTGCAGTGTCTCTAACCACTCACTCAAGGCCCATGCCCCATCCTCTTTTCCCACTGAAGACCCTTAATATTCACCTGCCCACAGGGGACAGTCAGTATTTCCATAAAGGGCTGGATGCCCATGCTCTGGTGATACCGCACCAGCTCGGTGAGCGAGGCGTGAGCCCGGTCCTCCCCCAGGATGACGTAGCGTGCGTTGGGCTGCACCTGGATCATGTAGTGTCTGCAGCGCCCTTCACCCCTGGGGAGAGGGATGGACAGAAAGAGTCAGGACATGGGGCCTCAGTGTGTCAGAACCTGGTTCCTGCTTCCGCCACCTGTGGTCTCCAGAAGCCAGCTGTGATCAGGATCCTCAGTGACAAGTACCACACAGCTGCAGGAGACATGCACTAACATGTGCCCATCGGTGCTGCAGTCTCCTTCCAGCCTGGTTTGCCCTCTCAGCCACAGAGTACACCTTAGCAGGACCTTTACCCTTGGAGACACAGCACCCCACCCACAAACAGGTCTATTTTTTCAGTAAGAGACAGATTCTGCAGTATCCCATCTGCTACTACAAACTCTCTAAGGCACCCACTACAGGAGAGGTTGAACATGATCCTCACTGGACTCCTCTGCAGGAGTAAGCTCCTCCATAGCTGGTAATCTCCTCCAGTCAAGCAATTTTATAGTGTCACAGGATTCAAGAATTCTATGACTGTAGAAATCCAGGATCACAGAATTTCACGCAGTGCTCAATTTCACAGAATCACTTAGGATAGAAAAACCTTAAAGATTCTCAAGTTCAACACAGCACTACCAAGTTCACTATTAAACCATGTTCCTAAGTGCCACATCTACACATTTTTTAAATACCTCCAGGGATGGTGACTATACCAGTGCCCTGGGCAGCCTGTTCCTGTGCTTGACATCCCTTTCTGTGAAGACATTCCTCCTGACATTCAGCCTGAACCTACCCTGTCACAGCTTGAGGCTGTGTCTTCTTGTCCTGTCACCAGCTGCCTGGAAGAAAAGGCAGAGCCCCACCTAGCTACAGGCTCCTGCCAGGAGTTGTAGAGAGCAGTAATGTCTCCCCTGAGCCTCCTCTGCCCATTACTTACCGGTATGTCAAGATGTAGCCTGGTCGGCTCTGGCTGATCCGAACAAGGAAGCAACCCAAAGGCTTGTCAATCAGCAAGTTTTCAGCTTCCCTAGAATCCAGAAAGAGTTTTTCAGCAGAAAGCCAGCAGCTGCCTTGCCACACTGCTGGGAGTTGCATCCTATCTCATGTGCTACCTACCCCAGCAGCATCCCAGGGCGCCCAGCATCTGCCCCATGTGTTCCTAGCTACAGGTCTCCTGACTCAGGCTTGGTGGTGCAGGAGACACTAAGAAGTTGAGGAAGCACCATACTCTCAGCCAAAGCCTCTCCAAGCAGGGCTGCTCCAAACCTGCTCCAGCAGTCTGATTGTGCAATAGCAACAGCTGTCTTCCAGCACCAAGCATATCACAAAGCATCACTCATATAAGGAATCTGTGCATGTGTGCACCTCCTATGGTCCAGGGATGAAGAAGTCAGGATGCTGTGAGGTACTGGGTAAGCCCAGCACCTTGGAAAAACACCAACTTGGATTATACCACTCTGGCTTTCTAAACTTCCTACTGGAAGGAGGTCTTCCCCTTCTATGCCCAACAGACAAAGCTCTGCCTTGTTCTTCTCATGTGCCTTTCTCTAAGCTAAAGGTGATTGCCAATCACCAGTGCAATCTGGGATTGCTCTGGCTGCTCCATTTCACAAATCTGAGCTTACACTGCTGTGTGAAAATTTAAGTCTCTGCTTAAGCACCACTGTCTTTGGGAATGATCTGCCACTTCCTTCATTGTGCAGTGCTCATGGCTAGTCTGTACTTGAATTTAGACTGTTTTGTCTTCCAGACACTAATTCCTCTCCTACATTCTTTCATCTGGGACAAATGCATTATTACAGGTAAGGGCCTCAATAATTATCTTAAAAAAAAATGAAAAAGAAATGCAGCTACCAGGGAACTGTGAGCTACTGTAGTGTCCTTTACAAAGCTAATATGCTGTGTAATGTTTCTGAGTAAATGTTCACACTGACAGCCTGAAAAAATCCAAGAACATAGATCTAATAAGACTGAAGGAGAATTGCAATTTCAACAGAAAAAAAAGTTAGAAACTGGAGCAAGATGATAAGGGTGTTGAGATGGCAGCAACATTGACAAAGGAATCCCACCAATTACAGGATATTGGCAGCTAACAAGTGTGGAGCACCAATTTGCACATAGGTGAGACGATATTGTCATCCTGTCTGATTATTGGCACTTCTCTGATTATGCCAATGATTGACTCAGAAAGTAGTGCTTGACTCAGCCAAGAGAGTTAAGTGTGAGGCAGGCCGGGTAGAAAACAAGCATTTACACAAAATCTTGCAAACAGCTCCATAAGAAAGCAGGACTTAGTGGGTATCTCTCTGAGACTCAGTCACCTATACTGCACCCTCCTTAGACAAACAGAGGTACCAACAAAAACCCTTCCTTCCTTTTCCTGTATCAGAGGGCTTTGGTGGAGTTTTGCTATTGAGTACTCACTAAAGCCCCTCTTAATACTTTTTAAAATAAAAGTAAGCTGAATTCTATATTCTCCTGCTATAAATTGGGGTCTTCTCCTGACCTATACTGAAATATGAAAAACAGTCATAATGTATCAACCCAAAAGTTCATCTTTATGTCTCTGCAAATGGTCCAGAACAGGGGAAGTGCATGTGTGTATTTCCTCTCTGATTACTTTACAAGCTCCCCATCCCTACACAGGATCTGTATTTAGGGACACAATGGACATATGCACTATGAGTTTCCATTGTCTTTCCATGGACCTTCATAAAGTTTCAGCATTTACATCCTCTGACAGGGACTCCCAAGCTTTTCCCTAAGGGTTTGATGCCCACAGATGAAAATGGAAAAAGTTATGCTGGTTACTCCTATTCCCATTCCACTTCCTTTCCTGGCCAATCCAACCTACAGAGTCCCAAGGATACATTGCTGTTTCCCTGTGGTCACTGTGTTGAGACCTCACCTCCGACTGATCATCCCATGCAGCCAGCTTGGAAAGGCCCCATCATCCTGCATGACCTTCTGGGCCTGTGTCTCTGTGAACCAGCGCAGAGTTGCTCCTCTCTTGAGTTTCCTCACTTTTGCTTCTTCGCCAGTCTGTTCCTCAGTTCCCAGAACAGGAGGAGGCACAGAAGGGTTTAAGAAGTTATCAAAAGGAGTGGACTGAAAACAAGGAGAGAGGGAAAGTCAGCACAAAAGCAAAGTCAAAGGCAGGGGACATTTGAAGAAGCCACTTCAGCAGGTGACCCCATTCCTGAGTCCCTTCGGGGAAGATCAGTCACCAGCTACTAGAAGCTGCTTTCAGTTCCTCAAAGGTCCTAGCCATGCTTTTTATCTAACCACAGAAGGACAGGACTCACACTTCTCATAACAAGAATGACAGCATTCTCTCGGGACTGCATGCAGAAGAACATGTGCATGCAGAGGGTGGACTGAGCAAGGAACCAGCACACCTGGCTAAGGGCCCCCCAGCAGAGCCAGTATTGCTACCTCTGTTAGTTTGCTGCGTGGCCGTGGCACTGGTGGCTGCTGTGACTGATCAGAAGGAAGAGGATTAGAAGGAGGGTGCCTCTTTCGTGGCATGGGGACTGGAAGCGAGTTTCTTTCTGCAACAAGAAGAAATAGGTAGCTGAACTCTAGCATCCAAGTCCATGAGATCTATTCCCCACAGGCCTAGGACTGGGATAGGCTCTGCTGCATGGATTATGTGGTAAAACCACAGTGTGGCCCTCCTTCCAGCACAGCCAGGCAAATGATTTTTATTATGCTGCTTCTACTCCCCACAGACAATACCACACTTCAAAGAGCAGAAACATCATCAGCTCCCTGCCCACCATACTGATGGAATTCCCATCCTAGGGCAGGCCATGATGACCTGGAGCTTACAGCACTTCAAGGTGATCATCACACCAGTGGACAGGCACTGGGTCAGTGTGAGTGAGAACAACTCACCCTGGGCCTCTGCTGCCAGTGGCAGCTGGTGGATTCTTTCTCTCTCTGCCTCCTCCTGTAGCTGCTGTGCTTCAGCTTTCAGCTCAGCCAACAGTTTTCGAAAACTCTTCTTGCATCTGAATCCCCTAAAAACTGTTCAGAAAAAAGCTGTGATTAGGAAAAAATGCTGTTCATGCCTTTGCAATTCTCTTGAAGAAGAACACTGGGTGATAGTTCTTCATCCAGTACAAAGCCCTCAACACCTGAATTGTGTTAAAAAAGAGCAATGGAAACTCTACTGTGAGCAGGCAGCCAAAACCCTGTGAGAACTGTTTCTACTCTCTAAGCTGCCAGATCACAGATTTATAGAAATCAAATTACAGATCTAAGCTCTCATCTCTAATGCCAGGGCACTGAACACGTAAAAAGAAATCTTCACAGAAGGGCCTGTTAACATCTAAATCTCTGTCCTTCTAGACACCATGAAGGAGACAGGATTTCCTTGATACCAGCCCACAGGAAAACTTTTCCCATCACAGGGCTCACCCAGGAGCATTACAGACATTGTGTGATCCCACCTACTCTACCAGTTATTAAAACACATGAAATGGAAGCTGCATCCTCTCATTTCCCACTACCCACACATCTTCCCCATAGATTGTGTACAGTTGTGCACAGCTTGTGACAGTCTGATGTTTGTCACACTGTATGGTGCACAGCTGGAAGTTGCTCACATACTCCAGCAGTGCAACAACCCATACAGAAGAGAAGTGCTACAGAGGGGAGCTAAGCAGGGTGACAGCAGCCTCCTCCTCCTCCTCCTCCACCTGGCCACACAGTCCTCATGTAGCCTGTGCTAAGGGAAGTACCAATCTGCCCACAGACACTCTGAAGAGGCAGGCTGCTAGAGCAGATACTACATGGAAAGGAAAGAAAAAAACCAAACCAGACCAAAATCTCACCCCCTTTTGCCTGTCTCTGAAAGCAGCAATGAGATCTGCTTTACTCACTTCCCCCTTCTTAGTTCAACACAACTCACAAACAATCCTTACTCCAGAGGACAGCGAGCCAGACCTCAGGACACGGCCAAATCATGTGCATGCCCTGCTCAGCCCAGCCCTTCTGCATACATTTTCCCTTTCCAAGGCTGACACTGAGGGCTCTCCCTGATTCAGGATGAGCACTGAGAATAAGGGCATTTGCAATAAGCACTTTGACTTTGACCTTGACACAGAGATGGCACCTGCCCTACCCTTCTGTCCTCTGCAAACGTGGAGAAGGGACTGCAGAAAAGGTTTTTCTTCCCGTGGTTTGAGATCAGTTCCTGACCCAGTGCTCACCTTTCTGTATGATAACTGCTGCTCTTTCCAGTTGCTCCAAATACTTTGCCAGCTGTTCCTGATGCCAATATTTAAAGAAAAGTCGAGACTTTCTGCAAAGTTGGAGGACAAAGATGCAGTGAAAAACACTGTCTAAACTTTTATCCATCATCCTTTGAAGACCCCATTCCTACAACCACAGAATTCTCCCTGAAGAGAACCAGGTGACAGCTTACACATGCAAAATCTTAGGCTTCCCATTCCCAACAGCAGTGATCCACACCTACCCACAAATCCAGCCTTTCAGTTTTGTACTTTGCAGTATTTCCAAGCAGCTGAAAGAGATGAAAAAAGTGAAATAAATAATTTTCCACCCAAAGCCAACACTGATATTTTTAGTTGCATGAAGGGGCATAAAGTGCCTCAGCAATTCCCAATAGTCAGTAAACTGGCTGTCAGTCTGTAATGCACCTTGAGGTACAGCTACAGTCACATTTGGGAAGAACATCCGCAAAGGGGTTCCCAGAGGCAGATTTACTTCAACTCCCTGGGAGGCAATTCTGTACAGCCTATTTTATTCTTGGAAGTGTTTTTCCTTATTCTGTTTCCAAGCCCTTTGGAGAATACAAGTTGCAAGGTCAGCACAGCAACACTTCTGGGAGAAAGTCTGTTTTCCAATTCCAGTTTCATTTTGCAGACTCCAGTAATAAAATTTGGGTCACTCGTAAAGATTTCTTGACACTTGGAACTGAAAGCAGCTCTAGCTGCAACACACAGAGAGCTTCCTCTCTCCCCTGCTAATCCAGGCTGTGAAATCATAGTGGCACTTTTTGTTAATATCTCACACAGGAAAGCAGAAGTGTTTTTCCTTCTATCTTGGCCAACTTCCACAGTGCCACAATCCATATCCACAGGATTTTCTTTTTGAAATGCATCCCATGATTTTTATGTCTCCAAACACACCACACCACCTGTTTACAATAATCTCTCCTCCATCTATAAGATTCTCTTGTGACCTCAGTCAGGTTTGAAATTCTTACTATTCAGAAGCATCAGGAAGTTCAAGGAAGCACTGTGAAGGCAGGAAGAGCTGCTGCCAGGAGAGAATTGTTCCAGGAGATCATTCAAACTCTTTCCTTAAATGACTAAAAAAACCCCTCAGCTGGCTTCTTTACATGTTTCATTCTGACTATCAATCACAGTTGACACTGGCAGGAAGGAGAGGCTGGAAAAGTGGAGAAGAGGAGGTGGGGAACTGCTGCCCTAAATGTAGGAAGGAAAACACTGGCAGGGTAAAATCCTGTTCCTCTGCAGAGCTGGAAGGATGTTTACGTGTGTAACAGTTAGGTTCTAAAAGACCTGATAGTATATTTTGCCTGTACAGAGACAAAATTCTTGGTTTAGAAGCATCTTCTCTAGCCTGGGAGACATTCAGTGCTGGCTGCTTGTTCAGCACTGTCTGTATCTTCTTCTCCCATGTGGCCATCAGGAAAAAGCCTGGAGAGGGCCCTGATAACAGTACTTGAGTGCCTGCTATGCTGAGTTCAGTGGACAGCCTTGACCACTATTGTCACTCCCAAATTAAATACATAGGCTAGTTTTCATTTCACAGTACAACAACACTTTACAGCAATTGAATTTAATTGCTACATAACAACTCAAGAAAGATTTAATTCATCATGGTACCAAATGCTCTTTAAACATTAAATGTCCTTGCCTGGGATCTGTGTTCCCATTACCACAAAATCCCATCCTCTTTTTTCTGTCCCTTTTACTCAGTTTCCTATGCTACTCAGAGTAAAAGCCTATGAAAAACAAACCAGACTGCATACAACAAAGTCAGTGTTCCTACCTTTCTTTTGTGAGGGGAGCACCAGGTTTGACTAGAAGAATTCCGTATCTGTGGAAAACAAACCAATACAAACACATAAAAGCTACGTCCTTGATGGGTTGTGCTGATCCCTATCACCCTGACAGCAAACAACAAATCACTATCTTTCCCACTCAGCCTCCCACAGCAAATCACTCCATAACCTCAGACTATATGAACTTTGAAGAGACTCTTTCACTCACTGCCCATATCTGGTTATCAGGGTAATTTCCCAAATAATATCTAACAGGAAATATTCAGAGGTTTTAAAAGACCTTTCAGCAAATTCCTCAAAGGAGGGTCTCCAGGAGAAACCATCTCTTCGGATACGGATTGTCTCCAGCAGCCCATTGTACCGGAGCTGAAGCAGCACCACAAAGAGGATCAGAGAAACAAAGAGAAAAGGTCATCATGACATTGATTTTGCTCCTTTGCAGGCAGAAAATTACTTCATTCAGCCCTAACCTTCTCCAGTTCAAAATTAAAAAGTTTTTTTCTGAAAATGTTTCCTTGGTTAAGAACTCAATTTACCGCATCCTGTAACTCTGATGATTAACCACTCTGAGTTAGAAGTTGCAAACCATAAAAACCAATGACTGAAATAACTTCACCTTCCAGCCATGGGTACTGCCTTTGCTTCTTTCGCTTAGAGGATAGCTTCATATTTCCAAATCTGGACACAGATGTACTCTGAGGCATGGATGAACTTCCTCTTAATCCTATCCTTTCTTATATATATTAAAGAGGATGCTGAGCTTTCTGAACTCTTCCAATCATTTTCAGTATTCTTGAGGCATCTATACCTCAGACCTGACAGAATATCCAACTACAATCATATCAGTGCATTTCATATCCTATCAAAGCAATCCCATCTTGGTTTCTATTCAGAGTTGCCCTGGCTGATGGGTGAGAACAGTCCTATCCAGGGGGAGATACAAAGATGAATCCTAGCTCCTGACAAGCAGATCTCATTGCATTCATGAAGAAGAAATGAGAGAGATCTAAGATTGCAAAATCTGGACCTAGCAGTCTGTGTCACAGAAACAACCAAGTATTCAGAATCTTTATACATATATAAAGATGTGAACACTCTTTCTCTTGCAAGGGGAGATTCAACAGAGTCATGTTTCAGAGCCTTTTGGTGGAATCTGACCTTCCACTGAGATGTGGCAGAAATCCCTGTAAAGGACACCGCTTTTGCTCACCTGCAGCAGCACCACCTGGTTGTCCAGGACACCTGGCTCCTTCTGGTTGTTGGGCTTTATGCAGCGCACAAAGTGTGGGTTGGCAGAGTACATCCTCTCCATGAGCACCATCAGGGAATGCTGGCAAGGGCAGAGGAAGATCAACAGTCCATCGAGCCAAAGCTCTGCCACATGCAATATCCTGCAGCAAGAACTGTTTTCTCACCCCACAGCAACTTCCTGGGTTCTGGCAACAACTAGGCCAGCAATCAGGAAAACCCCTCTCTACATAATGTCTGCTTTAACCATGCTTAGCACTCTGGAAGCAGTGCAGTGGTAATTTTATCACTGCTTTCATCTCACAGGGCACCTCAGGGCAGCAGTACCATACCCGGAATTGAGCTCCAGCAGACTGTTTCCGTGTGCTGTTGAACTTGTCATCTACTCCTGGTATGACCTGAAACCAGATCAAAACAAAGGATCAGTCCCGGAAAGAAGTGCTTGATTGACAGCCAAAGAGCACTGCTGGAAAGCAGAAGGCAAAAATCGAGGGAGAATGGATGTAATGGGAGGAAAGACAAGTTAAACATGTAAATAGGAGAAGCAAGCATGAAACATGGTAAAAAACAAAGAAGAAACTGTTAAAAGCTCTTTGCTGTCTGCTCTTATTTTAAACCAACTTCTACCTGTCCTTTTTCAGACAATTTCTGAAATAATAATTATCAGGTAATATTTATCAATTGTGATGTGGACCTGAAGGGAAATACCTTGGCTTTCACATGAGGCATCAGGGTCCCTGTTCTGGAGACCGTGGCTGAAAGAAAAGAGACAATTAGTTAATTTTATAGCTTTGCAATCCGCTAGGGCTAAACATTCGAACCTCACTTCTGCACAAACCGTCTTACAAATACTATGCCACAGGGTGCTAGGTTTCACCATGTGGAACTACTGTATGAAGCATACAAGGCAGGCATTACTAATTTCTGCCACTGAGAAGACATGACAATCAGGTTATTAAATAAACCTAAATGACTTTCAATAGAATTATCATCAATGGGTATCTAACAGTGCAAAAAAAAAAAAAGGCACAGGCAGCAAAAGGGGTAGCTCTCTGCAGTACTCAGGAGGTTATTCAAAGTCAGATAGCTTATAACTAATTCAGTGACAGGATAAGAAAACCAAGGAGTTTAATTTACTAAAGGATCTAGTAAGAGTCTTGTGTACCCTTGATGCAATGGCTTCATGTAAATCATAAAATCACAGAATGAGGTTAGCAGTGTCTTCTGGAGGTCATCTGGACCAAACCCTTTGTTCAGCACCTAAAACCATTGCCCAGACTGGACAACCAACCTGAGAACAGGTTATATCTGATGTTTATGAAGTTTCAAAGTTTATGAACTTTGAAAGAGTTGGGACTAGACTAAGTAGCTTCAGTAACAGTGCAATAATGGTAATGAAGAAAGATAGTCCTAAACAGTAGCTGAAAAACATAGCGGAGAAGAGAAATTAAATTAATCTTCAAATTCATCAGCTTCTTGTAAATCCCAGAAAGTGGCATGGACTGAATGGGAACAAAAAATTACAAAATTTCTATATCAGAAGCACTGTGTTCAGCCAGCCAATTTCCAAGGAAATATCCACCTGGCCTTTCTTGAAATTTTTAATTTAATTAGAAACCTTGGAGAATCTGAAGGCTTATTGATAACTGGAAAAGGGGAGTGTAGTGGTAGCAGAAAAATAATGCGTGGCCTGAGAGTTTTTTTTAACAGGTTGTGAAACTCCATTTTCAGAATCTATGATCTTGACCAGCTTCATTTCTAGACAAGAATAGAGTGTGTAGAAAGAACCAGTGGAGACAGTCCTCCACTGGCCTTGGAGAAGATGGAAAGGCATCTGAGTGGCAGCTAATTCCCTTGCTTTCCAAGGCAGGGAATAAACATGTTGGTCTGACAACTCTGTACATGCCAGCAGCACTACTCCAGGCTGCAGCATTCCCAGAGTCACCCTGGCGCTGCCAGATGTGAAACACGTGAGCCTCATGCCCACACTTAACTCTCGCCAAGATGGGCCCTGGCTCATGATGGATAAGCAGAGGGACTTGCCTGTGAACAGCACACTGAGCAAGGGGGTGACACTGTTGATGAAGAGCCCACGGACGTTGGCTGGCACGGTGTCTCTGTTCTTCTCTAGAAAGCCCCTGGCAGCATATTGTACCTGGGGAAAGGGCAGCAGGTCACTAAGGACAGCAGTGCTCACAGGCTGGCTGTAAAAGCCACTTCCACAGCCTGCTGGGGGCTGACCATGTGTTAAACTGACTCTACTCTGGCTTGCATTAATTCTTTATACACACCTGCACCCCATTTAAATGCCAGCCCTAAGGAACACAACCATGCGCATACCAGATGCATCAGAACCATGGGAGTGCAGCGTTAACACAGAGACATCCACCTTTTACATATTACATGTTAATTTTTGTAATAATGAATCCACAAATAATAATTTAGTCAACAATGCTGAGATTAGATTATTAAACTGCAAGTTACAATGACCTGAATTGTCATATCTTCTCCTGTTCCAAAAATTATCTCAAATCAGTTCAACTTAATGTGGACCAATGCTTTCAATACTGGTGGCAGTAAAGTTACATTCAATAATGCTAAATCTCAAGCTGCTTAGATACCAGTGAATGTGTAAATAACTGCCTCCACCTTCAAAACATTAATTACCCAGCTGTTTACACAGTGTTCCCAGGTGTTTGCAAAAAAATAGTCACTGCTATTGGAACCCAACAGGTAAAGAAAAAGCCTTTAGCCTGTCCTTTGGTGCTGCACAGTGGACTATAATTTATAAAGTACTGCTTTAGGACTAGAGCCCTAATAGAATGGTGATTAGAAGAATAGCAGATTCTTCTAATGCTCTACCCTTCTGAGAGGTAGCCCCACTTTCCTCAGGGGTCTTGTCTTTCTGTAACTTTGTCATAAATCCCAGAGAATTCTAGGAGGCAATCCATTGGAATACATCACTTCTGTTAATGTCATCCTCAGACCATGCATTCCTTAACATCAAAGCCTTATTTATCAGGCAACACTCCCACCCCCTCCAACATAAACATTCAGCATTCCTCCTGCAAACAGTACATACTTTCCCAGCATAGTGAATGATGCTGAAGCTCAAAACATGGCCTCGGGATGGCTGGAAGTGTAAATTCCCCTTAAAGCTGCTGTTTAGTTTATCCACAAATGTCTTATCAGTTGCCTGCAAGGGAGCAGATATCATAAGCTGCAACAGAGGCCTGGTGAGGACACACAGATTCAAAACAAGGTCTTGGAAGTATCCTTAGGTGTGCAATAGTCTTCTGCTGTATCTCCTTTCTGACTCATCTCGGGGACGACAATGCCACTAGACTGCCTCTGATCTGGATGTCTTGTCTCATAAATCACACATGGGAACATCTCTGTTCAGCCTGCACTCCAACCCAAGAGCTTTCTTTGTAGCCCAGATATTAATTGATGTATTAGCCCCCAGACTATTTTCTCTGCCTCCTCTCTCATGCGTACCTGAGGGAATGCACTCTGCTCATCCAGAAGAGACAGCAGCCCAAGTGGCTTGGCCAAGAGCAGATTCTGCAGGAAAGAAGATGCATGGCACATATGTAAAGCAGTGCAGGACATCCCCTCTCACCCTCACTAGCCTTTGCAGAGGTTCCTCCCAGGTGCATCTCCTCCACATGGTAGGAAGAGCAAGACCTTTCTCTTGGCTGGACAGAGCAATTATATTCTGTCAGTCCTCTCACTCACCAGAATAGGTTCATTATTGTTGAATGTGATGGTCTCCCAAGGCAGCCCTTCTTCCTTATATGCAGCCTGCTCCAGCTGGAAAATGTGCTGAAATAAAGAAAAAAGCAGTTGAAGCACACAGCACACTTGGCTGGACAAACCCTGAACATTTTCCTTCTTGCCCTGAAAAAGATGAGGTGTGGCACTCTCAGCCACAGCATGAGAGGTCCAAGATGTAGCTGTTGTTCTCCATGGTTCTCTGTAACCCTGGCACTCACTGGTACTGGTGCATAAAGCAGAACACTTCTCAGATTGTAAATGTCCCTATCATTATGACTTTGACTACTGCTTGATCCTTCTACCTCTTCCTTTCCTGTCCCAGTGGCTCCCCTACCCCAGCAGGGAAGGTTGCTGCTCTCTATCTTGATTCACTATTCACTACTTCTGTCCTTCCAGGCAATAGATATGCTTTTCCACAAGCTCTCCTGCATGTGCCAGGTAGAGCAGTGTTCTGCTTTCTCTATAGGACAAGGTAAGATCACCCCCAGCAGACTTACATGGTTGAAGAAATGCTGCAGCTGCTCATTGGCCAAGTTTATGCAAAGCTGTTCAAAACGATTCACTGCAAAGTTTTCAAACCCAAAAATATCCAAGATCCCTAAAAAAAGGGAAGAAGAGCACACTATGGAGCCTGCAGGCCATCCCTCCAGATTACTGTGTACACCAACACAATTAAATCTCTTATCATACAGATCTTTTTGTACACGGAAAATGCATCCAGGAGAGACACCAGTGGCAGCTCTTCCACAGCTTGGAGAGTTAGTTAAAAGAAGACCCACTCCAGCCTGGCTTCTCTGCTAATCCAGAGTGCCCCAGAATTACAGCCTCACAGTTGCTTCAGATCAACTGACTGCTCAGAGCTGAACAAAACCCTATAGACTTCACGCTGCTCACTCATCTCCACCAGGATCACTGTTTTGATAATGCATCCCGGCAGGCAAGCTCTGTGAAACCTCATGTTGTGCCTTGTCCTTCATCGTAGCTGAGGGATGCACATTTGACAACAGAACAGGAGCAAGGCAGGCAGAACTCACCTATCTCCCTCAGCTCCACCTCAGGATCCACGTTCTCAGCCAGCAGCTCATTGATCTTGCAAACAATCCAGCCAAACACTCGGCCATAGGCCACCTTTGCAATGGAGTCCCGAGCATCTGCACAGAGGGGACAACAGCAGCTCACTGACAGGCTTCGCAGGAGAGTGGAAGACATGGCACACAAGCTGGCTCAATGCATTCACCTCTAGTAACAATGTCTATATGAAGCCACTTTAAAGACCAGATAAACACTGGATTGTCCCCATCCTTTGCAAGTGGGAGCTTGTTGCTCTGACTTTTTAAAAGTGTTCAGTTTTGTTTTATAGTTATTTTGAAAGTTTTAAAGTTCTCATAAAACTTCTTTAGCCTTCTGATAATGTTTATATAATTCCATTGGAGTTCTCACACATTGTTCATGCAAATAATGATTGTTTTGCATTCTTCTTTGTGGGAGGAGAGAATTGTTGGTTTGACCAGTGTGGTTGGAGAGGTGGCAATTTCATCCTCCAATCCACTGTCACTTTTGGAATTCTATATATTGTGAGGTCAGAAATAAAATTGGCTCTTTTTCTCTCTTTAACTCACCAAGCTTCTGTGTACTCATTTCATGTCCAATAGTGACAGGAGCTGTAAAAACAGCTCTTTATTTTAAAAATCTTCACAATCTTTCTACAAGATCAGCCATGCCATACCAGGACATTTTTGAGTCATGCCACCTTTTAGAACATCCAGAGACTTGCTTTCCCTTCTGAAGATACACTAAGTAAGGATCCCCTCACTGCTATAACAAGGGAGAAGCTCCAAATTTTACTTGAAAAACTGGATGGGTCTCTTCCTCCTAGCCCATAGCTGCTAAGATGTTGTAGACAAGAAAAGCACACAATTGATGGAAAGCTTGTTGATATTTTAAGAAGGAGACCAAATTAACATGACTTATGATTACAGATGTATATTTTGTTGTCTAGAGAAATTTGTAAAACAGAACTAGCTAACCCCATTTAATTTTCTCCTTTCATTTATTTGAAGCAATAACTTATCTTTTTAATTATCTTTTAAAGGACTGTAATTTAAATGAACCTTTTGGTACAGATTATTTTTTATTATTTTCTTGTTTTAAGAAAGGGAAAGTAACACCTTGTGCTTGCTATCTTACTCTTTTCACTCCATTCCTACACTGTGAAATCGTTGTTGTTGTGATTGTTTCTCCATCTACTACCTAGAGCTCTGCACACTGTCAGCACTCTGCAGCAGGAGCCTTCCCCTCTTTTGCACAAATACCCAGTTTCTTTCTGGGCTGGACTGAGGCAGAAAGCAAAGCTAATTCCTTGGTTTCTCATTTAATCTCTGCAGTCTCCTGGAGACCAAACAAAAGCAGCATTCATGGCCCTCCATGTCAGTAAGCGACTACACAGATAAACACTGACATACTTCTCTCTGTGTGAGAGGAATGAAGGGGCACAGAAGGACGTCTTTGTTCCCAACAAGCTGCACATGTGTGGGATACCCTTCCATCAAAGCCCGGTCTTTCTAGCCAGCACATCTGCAATTCATTGTGTTTCCTACCTTCTGCCTGCTGCTGGGTGTGAAAACGCTGGATCTGCTCGCCTCGGGTCACTGATGTTGTACAAATCAGGCATTTTAACAGCTCATCTTCCTGGACTCCAAACTGACCCTGGGAAACAGGAAAGAGATGAGCGCAGTCAGTTATACACCCTTGCTCTGCTTGTGGGGATTGTGTCTGGCTGTGTGTAATGGGGTCATGATTCAGGCTCAGGCCTTTGAGCCCACTGTAAGGCAAGTGCTACTGCTGGCACCAGGGTCAGATGTGGGCTCTGATCTCCTCCACCCCGGCAGGGACCAGCCTCACACACCCACTCTGAATCACTTTTCCTTTTGATCTTCCAGTGCTGCCACCTTTCACCTTCTTTGGGAGCCATGCCAGTCCCTCCTGAGCAGTTTAATGACTTGTTGAACAGCACCACACGGAGGTGACTGTGCAGGTGCTGAAGCATCTGAACTTCAGAGTCACAGGAACCCACATGAGAACCAGGAAACAAAGCAAACTCAGACACACGGAACCCCTCAGTGATTTAACAGGAATTCCCCTCCTGTGGGCAAGAGGAGCAAGTTTTCAGAAATAAGATACGAAGAAGTTGGCTGCTGAACAGACATAGGTGGATGTTTCAGGTATTGTGTAGGAGTGAAACAAGCAGAGATGGCAGTGAAACTGAAGAGCAAGGGTACTGGGATTTCAAACAGGTCAAAATGAAAAGAAATAGTAAGAGGAGAAGTATGTTACTTTTTTCTGTCCTGTTTTGTTAACAAAGCAGGATAACTTCTCCATCCCATATAACAAAAATGAAATGGTTCTGGGATATATATACTTCTTAATCTGGGATAATTTAATGCAAAATAATAGAAAGCTTAATTCAAGATAATCAACCAAAAATGACAGCACTGTGGGTGGTATCCTTGGACAAAATTCGATGAAAACACAGAACTAATGTAGTGATATTGAACACCTGAATTTCTCCAAGGCATCATCAAACTCATTTAGTTTTGAAAAGCTTGTGCTTTATGGAGTCAGCAAGGTATATGCTCACGATGCAAGACACTGGTTCTAGACACACAACAAACAGAAGCCGAGACATATCTCTCTGGGTATGAATAGCAGTGAAAACAAATGCTGACATGGGGTCAAACTGTACATTTCCAAAAAAAACCCTTGTTCTTTAGAATCCTTCACATTCTGAGGCAGAAACATCCTCTGGCAGGAACAGCTCCTGCAGTCAAACAGCCAGTGGGGAAGAACATAATACCCATAAGGTTTTGTCAACATTTCTTGTGACTCACCGCTGCAGCCTTCAGCCATCCCTGGGAGGCTTCACTGACCTTCACAGACCCATTGCTCTCCTCAGGCTCAAAGGTCACATTGCCCAGAGACAACACACCAGCCAAGATAGCCTGCATGTCCACTTGTTCCTAAAACACAAAAGAAAGGTGACTGAAAAGTATACGAGCATGTAGCATGTACAACACAGATGACTCGGAAGTTGGAGAGGTTAAAGGAAGAGGTACAGGCAACCTGTGGGAAAAAGCTCTCCACAAAGTCTGGCAGACTCAGGTGGTCTGAAAGTAACATGAAAAATCTAGACAAAGATATAGGTCTGAGCTTCAAGAGAGCAGCTAGAAAGAAACACTGTGCCTGCAGGAAGCACAGATGGAAATGTAACAGCCCCAGGACTAACCTGTTCTTGGAAGCCCACCATGTCAAGGGCATTGCAAACCTCTTGGTATTTGTGCTTCCAGCATTCAGTGACTTCCTGTGTACCAAATCGTCCACTTATGTACCTGAGAAAGTGCATATCCCATAAAAACTGTCACACAATCGGCACCATAACTCAGTTGTCCCCAGTGGGAACAAAGCAGATCACCAGAAGGGGAAATAAACTTTTCCAAGGTAGCGCAGCAGAGACCCCTGACCTCCCAGCTTCCATGATGGTCTGTATCTCTCCATTCAGATCCCACTCCAGTTTCCACTCACACACAGATAAAACCCCAGGGCAGAAGAAAAAACTCCATTATGCTGTTTTCCCCTTCACCACCCATTACAAAGACTAAAGTAGAGTGTGTCTTTGACGCACCTGTAGAGTGAAGGATCCAATAACCCATACATCTCCTTCTGCTCTGAAGACAGTCCAGCAAACATGTAGTAGAAGATGTGGAAATTCCTCTCCCCAGTATCTTGCTGTACCACCCGTGACTTCTCTAACAGGTACTCACTCAGCTTTGCACCTTGCACTGCACACAAAAAGGTGACAGGGTGGGGAACTTCACTCTGGGGGACATGAAGTTGCCTGGGTTGTCCCACATCTCTTCTTTGGTGACAGGAGCAGAGAATTGTCTAAATTCACTTCCTTGTGTGCAAGGCCCTCTAGGCTGCCCAGGACACTGGAAATGGGCTTCTCCATGCTTCCTGTGGTCTTAGAGATTTCTGATCACCTCTTTTAGCAGAAACAAAGGCTTCTGGCATCAGAGAGTATTACTGACATTTACCCTGCACTCTCACCCCCATATCCTTGCTGTACTCCCACTCTGTCCAAATCCAGGCCTGATCCTATCCAACAGTGGTTGCTGTGAGATTTTTACTTAATTGCACACCCTTCCCACAGGGAGGCAGGCACATGCCAAATTTTTACCCTCCACAAGTTTTGGCTACTCAGTCCGCTCCCTCAAGTTCCTGACCACTCCCCAGGCTAGTAATTGTCCTTGACTTTACCTATATTTTTCTGGAAACGCAGCTGTATGTATTTTCCAAAGCGGCTGCTGTTGTCATTCATCACTGTCTGGGCATTGCCAAAAGCTTCAAGCAATGGATTCACCTAAAACAAGCGAAGAAGCAGAACAATCATTCTTCAGATTATGCAATCCAACCTAACTTACTTGGAAAAATTTATCTTTAGCCTTTGCTAGTCAGAGTTCAGCTGGAAAAGGAACCACTCCATGAATATGGATGAGCACCTATTTTATCTCTGCCTGGATAGAGAAATTCAAGAAGGCAAATATCACAAAGAAAAAGAAGCATGAGATTAATGATGATCAGTACAACTGAACTGATGGGATCTCAGTAAGATCACTGAGACATTTGTTAGAAGGTTGGTCCAAGCTGTTTCCACACAGTATCTGCTATCACTAGATAATTTGAATGCTATACAGCAATAATAAACAAAGTCACCAAGCCACTCAGTTAATATGACACCTTAGCTACTGAAATTTGTAGACATAGGGACAGTATATAATAAAGAAATTAACAGAACAATCAGACCAACTTGCTAAGGGTGGTAAAATGAGAGTTTTCCTATATCCGAGTAAAGAATGCCTGTCAACTGCAAGAATGATGCCTCAGAGTAGAGGCATCAGAGTAGAGGCAGCCTGATGAACAAAGCTTTAAGGTATGACGGTAATTCCTCAAAGGATTAACTCAGTCCTTGTATATAGCTACAGGAACCAAATAAGATGCATATTATTATCATCTCTAGGCTTTCCAAGGGCAGTTTATCTGGGCTGAAGTGAGCTATTTCTAGTGAAGGAACTACAAGCTAGCTTTAGGCACTCTGCTGAGCAAACACAGCTCTCCTGCCTGTGGAACCTGCTCAGGTCAGAAGCAGCCTGGCAATGTGGCCCAAGCCAGCTCTAAGCAGAGACAGCAGGTGTATCATTGCCACGTTCCCACAACCCAGCACAGGCATTCACCTTGGATCCACCATGGATGACACCACACTGAATTAATACACCATTCCAGAGCCCAAAGCACAGCATGGGGCATTGGGTTTATGGGTCAGTGTATTGGTTGCAGGAGGAACTAAAGCTGTTTTCTGTGAGGAGATGCCAGACACTTTCCCCATGTCCAACAGAGCATTACAAGCCAAGAGAGCCATACAGACCTGCCACTGGCCAAGGCTGAGCCCGCCACTGACAGTGGCAGCGCCTCTAGGATAAAAATTGCTGCACAACCACAGAAGGGAGAGAGGAGAGTGAGGGTGCGTGAGAGGAACAGCCCTGCAGACACAGGGTCAGTGAAGGAGGAGGGGCAGCAGCTGCTCCAGGAGCCAGAGCAGAGATTCCCCTGCAGCCCCTGGTGCAGCCCATGCTGAGGCAGCTGTGCCCCTGCAGCACAGGGAGGTGCAGGGGGAGCAGAGATCCACCTGCAGCCCTGGAGGAACCACACCAGAGCAGGTGGGTGTCTGAGGGGGCTGTGACCCCACGGGAAGCCCTCCTGGCAGGACCTGTAGCCTGTGGAGAGGAGCCCGTGCTGGAGCAGGTTTGCTGATAGAGGACTTGTGACCCTGCAGGGCCACACTGTAGCACCCCGTTCATGGACTGTACCCTGGAGAGGGGACCCAGACCGGAGCAGTCTGCTCCTGAAGGAGTGCATTATGTCAAGGCAGCCACACTGGAACAGTCTGGTCCTGAAGGACTGCCTCCTGTGGGAGGGACCCCATGCTAGAGGAGGGGAAAAACATGAGGAAGAAGACAGTAGCACAGATAAACTGTAATGAACTGACCTCAGCATCCATCCTCTATCTGCCTGTGCTGCTGGAGGGAAGAAGGTAGAGAGAAACTGGGAATCAAGTTGAGCCTAGGGAGAAGGGAGGAGTTGGGGAAGGTGTTTCAAGATTTGTTCTTATTTCTCATCATCTGACATTAACTGGCAAGAAATTAAATTAACTTTCCCTAAGATGAGCCTCTTTTGTCTGTGATGGTAGTTGCTGAGTGATCTCACAGTCCTTATCTCAACTGACCAGTTTTTGTTATTTTCTTATACCCCTGTCCACTTAAGGAGGGGAAGTGACAGAGTGGCTTGGTGGGCACTGGTTGAAGTTAACCTTCCACAGAGAAAGACCTCTATGTTTCTACAGGGAATCTGAGAAGGAAGACTTTAAAATTAAATAGTCCAAGAACTCACTCTTGTTAATATATCACATGGAAGGTTTAAAGTATCATTTGTTTAAAAAAATATCATAACTCCCTGGGGGAAAATTCAAGTGGAAATATTTCAGACCAAAGAGTCAAATACGTTTCAAAATGAGCTAGCAGAGATATATGAAAAGAGCAAGGATGGCAGTTAGCCAGCTAGCAGGTATGTGCCTGACAGTATAAGTAGCCAAGGATGGGTTACTAAAAGGTGTGCGAATTCTTCATCTCTCTGTATCATTAAATCAAGGTCTCATTTTTCTAATGAAAGTCCTTGTTCTACCTCAAACAGGAAATGATTTAGAAAAATGTAACCAATATCTTGTAAAAAAGAACATGATAAATGATTGCAACAGTTTTTTTTCTAATTTAAAAATCATCTCCAGGAAACGGAATTACTCACATACTAACCCTTCTAATTTGTGGCCAGCTATCTCACCATTCTTATCCACTATTTTCTTATGTATCTTATGTGTGGCTCCCTGATTTCCAGTGGTGATTCATCAGCAGGCTTCCTAAGCCTAATCCAAGTTGTCTTGCAGCAGTGTTGCTTCTGCACCTTCAAGCACCACCCTGCAGTGACCTACCTGAAGTATCTGCTGCTCCAGCTGTGAGTTACCTTTGCATAGGTTCATTATGTGCTGCAACAACAACTTCGTACTTTCTGTTTTCCCAGCACCACTCTCTCCACTGCCAAGAAAAAGCAAAAGAAATTCCATCAACCACGTAAGTATAGTTGTTCTGCCCCTTATGGCTCAAGTGCTCCATCACTTGAGAGTGCTTTGCAAGTTTCACAATTTTTTCAGCAAAATCACCTGTATGAGTAAAAACTTACATGACACAGATTTACACATGAATCATGTGGTTCTGTTCCTTCATCAGGGAACTTTTCCCCCTGTGCAAGGGCATACAGACATATCCCATGCTGTCACTTCTGAATGGGATGTATCAGACAGACCATTTGCTCTGTTTCAAAAGCCATCTGGTATATCAACTCCCTTGCATATGCTGGAGCCAATAACTTCCTTTTTCTTCAGAGAAATATGCCCTGTCTACATCACATGTACACCTGGATACTGATCATGAGATGCTGTGGCAGTATCAGATCTCAGATGTTTCACACATCCATGTGCCAGACAGCTGGGAATGCAGGTGCAGAGCTGCCCACACTCCCACAGTGCTAGCAGTGCACATCACTGCGCTGTCACACATCCACAGCGCCTCTGCCTCCAAGTCAAACAACTAGCTCTTAGAAAGTGCAATTTCCCCTGTCCTGGGAGAGGGACTGTACAATCAGTGAGACAACACGTCCTTAACTGACAACATGACGCCAGCTGAGAACTTCAGCATGTGCATGGAAAAAAAAATAAATGCAGGAAATGCTGGAGGTATCCTTGAGGGCAGGTCCTCCTTTGAGCTGACCTTTGAGCGTGTGGTGTGGCTTTACTGCTGTGTAGCTGCCATTGGCTCTGCACTTGGTATCAAGTATGTGTCATGGGTGGCTAAAAGCCTCAAGTATTACAGCAGGTCCCTGATCTCAAGCACAGGTCAGACCAGCACCATTCAAATACATACCAACAAAATAGGATCATTTTGCCAGTTGAGAACATGCCATCCAGTGCTCCTACTCAGTATGTCAGGTTTATTTTCATTTTTCTGTAACTTTCCTCCTCCAACAAAAAAACCCCCAAAAACCAACCAACCAACCAAAAAACAAACAAACAAACAAAAACAAACAAAAAAAACACCAACCCCAACAACACTTCCATGGTTCAAGCTTGACCTTAGACCCTCTAACAAGCACAACACCTTCACAAGGCCTTCACAGGCCTTCACAGCAGGTGTGCAACTGCCCCCAGCTCTGAAGAAATGCTAAGTCATCTTCAGGCGACCCAAGTGCTGTATTGCAGCACATGCAGGCTACAACTAATGTCCTTTGCGACTGGGAAGGCAAGAGAAGACAGTAGAATTTGTGGCTGAAGACAATTTGGTAGCAATGAACACTTATGATCTGGCAGCAACTGCTTCATCCAACCTCACCTCTGAAGAATGCGATCCAGACCTCCGACACTCAGTTGGAGACACCAAAGAGACCACCAGAAACAGATCCTGGTGTGTCCCTGTGCTGTTGTGAACTGTGGTCTAACAGAAGTGACCTTGTCTTCCCTGTTCACTCCAACTGTGCTCATGTAGGAAAATCTGTTAATTAGTGTTTCACCACCCATGGAGTGGAAAACCACAAATTTCCTGTGACAGTAACACACAGACTAGGTATAGGAGTATATCAGACTCATCTCTGAACTGCTGGCAGAAAACAACCAGACTGCTGACCACTTCACAAATTCTTATGGGTTACTCTTTCTTCTACCTCCCAAGACAAATATAATGACTGTTCTCTATCCCCCAAAGCCCCACCAGCAGCGCCTCTTGCACTGGCTGACCCCACGGCCACCACTTCTTGAGGGCACTTCACATAAGCACAGGCACTAATCGCCTGAAGGCACAGAAATGAGTGACCCTCAAAGTCAGCTACCAGTCCCACCAAAACACCCAGCAGTGATTCAGCAGTTGACTTCCACACTATGTAGACCAAAAGTACTGATAAAATGATCAGGCAAATATAAAGGAGCATTAAAGCAAACAAGTTAGCAAGTAGCATTTTAACTGAGACGATATTTAAACTGTTCTCTACAACACCCAGCTGTAGAGAAGAGGCAGTTAATGTTTCAAGGCTTTCTCCTTGCTGTTCAGTGCTTTCTCTACTAAATGATGCTACCTGCTGTGCTGTAGAGTTCCAGCAGAAGAATGACGAAAATGGAGTAAAATGTTTGTGGTACTTATAGGCTCTTTGAAAGAACCACTTTCCCCTGACTTCTAGAGCACAGAACTGCCCATAACTTTAAGATACACCCCAACCAGATTCCCAAAGGTCTTAGAGCAGAAAAGCATAGTTTAATACTTCCTGCTCTTCAGTTACACTTGGGAAGCTCCACTTTGTGAAAACTGGTTCCTTCCATTATCATCCTTCCAACTTTTACTACAGCTTTTACCATAGCATTTGTATTGCCAGAGCAGAGCTGTATTCCCAGAGCTGGATTCCAATGGCTGGTTCCCCACCAGAAGTGAACCTGGCATCTTTAGTGTTGTAAAGACTGCTGGCTGAGCTGCTCCAGGAAAGCCAGTTTTGCCTGCCCACATATTCTCACGACGTGCCCGCTAATCTGTCTCAAAAGCAGCTGGGATGAAGGATGTGTTGCCAGCGCAAATAGATTTTGACTCACCGACAGAACCGGAGAAAAGCTTCACCCGCACCTCGGGCGGGGGGATGCCAGCGGGAGCTCGCGGGCCGCCCCGGCCCCCGCCGGCCCCGGGACCCCCGGCCGCCGCTCACCTGATGAGGATGCACTGGTTGCGGGGTCCGCCGCCCCCGCGGCCCAGCATGGCGTGGTAGGCGCGGCTGGCCACGGCGAAAATGTGGGGCGGCAGCGCGTCGGTCTGAAGGCGGCGGTACCGCTCGGAGACCTGCGGGGAAGCGGCAGCGGAGAGGGGTGAGCGGCCGGGGGCGGCGGGGCGCGGCGGGGGCGCGGCGCTCACCTCCCTCCCGTAGAGCGGCAGCGGCTGGAAGGGGTTCATGGCGACCAGGATGTCTCCGATGTCGGTCTGTGGGGACGGGACAGCCGGTCAGCCGAGCGCCCTCCGCCGCCCCCCGCCCTGGCCCCCGGCACTCACGTAGATGTGCTGCTGCAGGAAGCGCTCCCGCAGCCCGGCCAGCAGCGCCGCCTCGTCCAGCTCGGCCAGCGCCGCCAGGTCCCCGGCCGCACCGGGCTGCGGGCCACGCTGCCCCAGCGGCACCATCCTCGCCCTGCCCTGCCCGGCCCGGCCCGGCCCGGCCCGGCTCGCCCGGCCGCGCTCCGCCCCGCCCCGCCCGGGACCGCCCGCCGGGGCGGGGCCGCCGTTTGAACGCGGGCGGCGGCGAGACCGGCAGGTAACGGGCGGCGGGGAACCGGGACGGGAACCGGGACGGGACCACCACGTGCGGGACCGGCGCCGGGTCCCGTCCCGATCTCCACCCGTGGAAAGGTCCTGGGCGGGATGAAGCCCTGAGCAGCCCAGCCTTACTTTGGTGGTAGCCTCGCTTTGGGCGCCAGGCTCAGCTGCATGACCCGTAAAAATCCCTTTGGCTAAATTAGTCCACCAAGTATTTCCTCAATCCATGTCACAGTCAGAGAAAAACATTTGGTTAAAGTCTAATAAATGTTTTGCAGTGTGCTCATGTGATTTTTGATTTTTTTTTTTTTTTTACTGGAAACGTTTATTTAAAACGTATTTTATTAAAAAAGAAAAAACAAATCAACAAAACAGAACCCTGATAATGAGTAAAATGCTTCAGTTTTGGTCAAGAAAAGCTCTCTGTTCAATCCTGCAAGACTTTTAACATATCTTTTCTTAGCTGCTGAAAAATATAATACCCTTAGTTTTGACTGATCCAAACTACACTTTTAGTACCCTACAGCACAGCTGAATTGAAGTAAGGCTAGGTTCATGTTTTACTTCCGGTATTAACTGCTGCAACATTTACTCCTTTACTCCTCAGGGTGGCTGAGGATTGGCTGTGGGCTCCAGAATTTCTCCCTTTCCCTTCCCCTTTCTCTTACCTCACAGTGTGGGATGTGCAGCCATGTGGCCCTTGGAGCTGACCCATCATGTGTTTGCGCTCCTGAGACACCAAGAGAGGCTGTGCAATAAGGAGATTTTTTGCGGGTACTCAAAATTTAGAAATGTTGAAGGGGATGATGCTCATGGTGCATTCTAAGTAGTAGAGGCTGTTTAGTGATCTTTGAATGTGAGCTGGGGAGAAGCAAGCTGGAGCAGTTCTGTCACTTGTAGGTGGAGTATTTTCTAGTGTACCCACAGGCTGCAGACAGTCTCACCCTGCAGAGCTTACACAGAATATTGTGCAATAATGGGAGTGTTAGAATTTCTTTATGTGAGCAGTAGATGGTCAAACCTGGTATAATTTGTTTGTTTTAATTATTATGTGTTAAAAAAAAATAGTCTGCGTTTTAGTCCATTACTGGTGAGTACTTTGCAACTGCACTTGAATATAATCATGGAATGGTTTGGGTTGGAAGGACCCTTAAACACTGACTCCTTCCAACAGCCCTGCAAAGCCCAAGGACACCTCCCACAGACAGGGTGGTTCAGGGCCCCATCCAGTCTGGCCTTGAACACTTCTGGGCTAACGATAAGCTTAAGGTGGTGTTCCCTGCAGTGCTGCCTCTCCATCCACGCCAGGTCTGACTAAGAAGTGGTCTTGGCTAGGCTTGTGGTTGTGCTGCAAATGAATATGAGGGCAAGCTCTGGAGAAGCTGCTGCTACTCTGCAAGACAAATCTAGTTATTTTCTACTCCTATCCACAGTACCTCTTCCACCCACAAACTTGCTAGAGTTTAGCAAGAATTTCACACAAAGAATGGGGAGGACAAAACACAGGAAGCAGTGGTTTGCATGTGGGATTTTGCACTGAAATTTGCTTATAGATGAATCATCATGTACCACTATTGCTTTCACAGCCTGGTCTCTCTAATGGAGTTTCTCTGTTTGAATGCAGGGCCCCTGTGCCGACAGAAGGGAATGCAGAAGGAAACTGTTAATAATGGTTGCTGGCAACTGGCTGCTCTTATTTCCTAGGAAAGTGTTGAGTTTTTAGCTCAGAATCCTACATTGCAATGCAGGTTATTCTTTTGATGTGTGTCCATCTTGCTTGGCTCTCCAGGATCCTCTACCTCCCTGTATATCAACCCTGACTCTGCCATGAGTGCCTCATCCCTGCCATTTGTGGTTGGAGCAAACACTGTGGAAGACCAGCGGGCTCGCTGGGAGAGAAAGCGCAGCAGGACAGCCAAGGAACTGCTGGAGACAGAACACAAATACCTTGAGCAGCTGGATTTGGTGCTCACAGTGAGTATTTCTGCCCCTTCTGATATGTGAGTGTCTTCAGACAGCACATACTTTTTCGTGTTGCCGTGGGGAAGGGTCAAGAGCAAGACTGTGGTGCGTCCCTGTTGTCTGGGACACCTGCTGTGGCTGAAGGAGTTTTTTGTTATTTTTCTTTTACCTCCTCTGTAATATTCAATAGCTCATGTGTTTGGCTTTTTGGCCTTGGTCTGTACACAGACATAAATCTTTTAAGTTTTGATTGAATAGGGTGCTCGCCCTAAGATGCCTGAAATGTATGAACTGTAGGAACACAGACAAGAAAAAGTTTATGAACAAGATGGTGAAAAACAGATGCATTGGAGGATACTGAAATAGACTCTTCTTAGTGCTGTAGTACTGTTCCATGTGTTTGCAGTTATGGTTAGAGCTACAAGTAAGGCTTACATCTGATGGTGGATATCTTAGGTAGACAGTCACAGTATTTGATATCTTTCCAAGCCAAAGGGGTCAGGCTGTGACTTCTGGCTTCTGCTGTGTGCCACAAGTGGCCTTTGAGTGACCTCAGAGGCTAATAACCTTTGCAGCCTTCCAGTACTTGAAGGGGGCTTATAAAAAAGAGGGAGGGTGACTTTTTACACAGGCACATAGTGATAGGAAAAAGAGGGAGAGTGACTTTTTACACAGGCACATAGTGATAGGACAGGGAAGAATGGTTTTAAACTGGAAGACAGCAGGTTTAGATTAGATGTTGGGGAGAAGTTATGTACTGTGAGGGTGGTGAGGCACTGGCACAAGTGGCCCAGGGAAGCTGTGGATACCCCATCCCTGGAAGTAACTGGCCAGGTTGGATGGGGCTTGGAAGGTGTCTCTGTCCGGGTTTGAACTAGATGGTCTTTAAGATCCTTTTCAATCCAAACCATTGAGTGATTCTGTGATGATTTGTGAATGCTACCTGTTTGAATATTTTTTTTTTCCCTGCTTAGTACTTTGTGACAATTTTAAAGGCCAAAGGGACACTGAAACCTGCTGTGTTGGAAACTATATTTGGACCCCTGGAGTCCTTATATTCAGCCAGCCAGTAAGTGAACACAGGATGCAATTCCTGTAATTATATTGGGAGGACTCAATGTTGATGGGAAAGTAAGATTTGGGGAAATAAGGCTAACACCTTGTAAAACAGGCATTCACTTCTAGCACCACTAGCCTTGGTGGCATTTGGAGGTATCCCCAGGAAACTCCTGATCTGTATCACATATCTGGGTACCCAGTTACTGGACAGGGGTTTAAGCTCAGTAAGTCTGTTCCACGGGGTGTTCTGTGGCATACTCTCTGACCTCCAAGCACAAATTTGTCATAGAAACAGGATATGAGGTGGAGAATGGTAAAGGCAGGCCAGCAAATGAAGGAATCAGATTGACCTGTAAAAATGCCATCAGTAACATATTCTTCACAAGCTATCTCTGCTCCTTGTGCACAGTCTTCTGTCACTTCACCTGGAGAAAGGGAATCTGGGACCAGGACTGGAACATTTTTGTCAGAGTCTGGATCTTTATGGCCACTATGCTGAGAATTTGGAACAGGCAAATAAAACATTAAAGGTAAGTATGTACTTTAGTATTCATATGGTTTCTCTTTTCCCATTCTGTGATACTGCCACATCTTTCCATTTGTCTCCTGTTTCTGGAGAGGTCAGTGTTCTTACTTCTTCTGGCCTGATGAAATTCAGGCTTTCTTCCACAATAAAGTGGTGAAAACTTCTCTAGTTATTTAGAGCTTCAAATTTCTGATGCCTTTTCAGGTGTTTGTGTATGTGTGTGCATATGGTAAGCATTGCTTTCTCAAACAGTGTTCTGTATTTACTCCCACTCCTTCCTAACTGGCAAGTCTAGAGAGTTTCCAGGCTTTCACTATGATACAGTGATCTCTTTCTAGGAATTTTCAGGTCTCCTATCTTTCCCACTACCACCATCAGTATCCTACTAGTGGGATTTCCTTTTCCTTAGCAGTTTTTTTCCTTTGTTGAAGACCATTTTTTCCTTCCCACTTATGTCTTCAAATGCAACATGTTTTCAAGAAATTTCTCCAGAACATATATTTATTCCGAAGTCCTGAGAGCTGTATCTGAAATTTAAACCACTCAGCTCCCAGTTTTGTCAGTGTTTGTTCCCAGATGCAGAACGGACTTGGATGTTTCCCTCCTCTTGAATTTGCATGGATGTATTCATGCTTTTGGTTTTCCAAGAGAAAAAGCCATTTTGGATACTTGTCTTAAGGTGATGAGAATGCAGATCTGCATTGCTTTTTCTTGAAAGAAATGGCAAAAAGCCACAAGTACACTCCTTGTTTTCCTAACTGAGTCAACCTTCTCTTTTTCATTAATATCAAGTATGGAGGGGAGATATCACTTCCATTACCCACTGAAATGAATGATCAGGAGAAAGGGAATGGCTTACCCAAAGCCACAAAAGAAGTTGATGTTTGCGGGACTGGAGTCCTAAACTCTAAGTTGAAGTGTTCTAAGCTCTGGTACAGGCTAGGGCACATAGCTTTGAGACTACAGAAAGACTAAATCCCTTTTTTCTGCACACAGGAGCAAGTGAGGAAAAATAAGTCATTCCGGCGGTTTAAGAAACTCCAGGAGACTCGACCTCAGTTTCAAGGGAGGGAGCTAGAGGACCTGCTTCCTTTGCCCCTGCAGAGGCTGCACCAGTAAGTAAGAAATTGTGTCTTCAACGGATTAGCATATGAAGGGAAAAAGGAATGCATTACTATCTTTGTTGCTATGAAAGGGAGAGTTGCTTATTGTGTCTCAAAATCAGAGCACAGAGACAGCAATGAAACAGACCCAAGAATGTGCCTTGTAAGGTGGAAGCAGTGTACATGGATGGGAGATGATGCAGTAAGGCAGTTGTGCTTAGCCCTGGCTCCTTCCTCTAGCTCTTGGGTAGAATTGGAGGCTTTCTGCTGTCTCAGTAAGCTACATAAGTTTGGTTCTGAATGAAAGCAAGCTGACTGACATGCTGCAGAAGTGTTGGTCACTGCCAGTGATGCTTTTGCTCCATTTTTATGTAGATTGCTGACCTGGAGCATTGTGACTATTGTAGATGGCTCTTTTTGGAGAGAAATTAGATTAATGAAGGAGAGCTTTTCTTTCCTCTCTGGTTATCAAGACTGTATCACATTTGTCTGAGCCTGGACAGATCCACTCAGGATCACTGCATCTCCCTCTTGAGGCACCAAGCCTTCCAGTCTTCAAGAAATGTTTAGACAACCTTATTGGACACATGTGATTTTTAGGGTTGTCTTGAAAATGCAGAGGCATTAATTGGACTTTGAGGGTCCTTGTGGATGCCTTTCAGCTCAGGATATTCCATGATCATCTTCCCTTTGAGGAGGCAAACTGACTGCCTGAGGAGAGTGCTGCATGCACTCATGGGCAGCCCTTTCTTGGAGAGGGTATATGGGTAATAAAGGTGCTTTTCTGGGAACCTAGAGTCTGCTACTATAGATGCAGTAGCTGTTTTTCAGTCATGGTCTTATCTACACTAAAGCAAATTTGAGAGATTGAGCACCTCTTTTCTTTGAAAATAACTTGGAGAGATCATACCACAGTCTTTCATGTAACTTTATGTAATGGTTTTAATCAGCTTGGCAGAAGTAAACATTAAGCTGATTGGTGGGTTTTTACTGTAATTCTTTGGGCAATTCTTTTAAATTTGCAGAACAGCAGTATATTTGTTGCAGTCCAACTATTTGGAGAAATGTGAGCTTTTTGATAGAAAGTCTAATTTTTTAATTAATCAGTTCTATCATGTTCAAATTTCTTTAAAACTTTTTTAACGTATCCACTAGCTCATATGAGTTCTGCCGGTTTGTGAATCTGTGAAGTTCCTTCTGTTTGACATTACTAGAGAAAGCATTTGCAGAGATCTTATCCTCTCCAGTGAAGACTGAAAAGGAAAGAAGAAAAAGGCAGGCCCTAATTCTTATAGAAGTGCCTGTATTTTCTTGTGTGGGCAGGAAACATGGTATGAATACCACCATTCATACACTATTAAAATAGATAGTTCAAAGAGAAATTTGTTGCTTATTGAAGGCAATAACAAAACATGTGAATACTGAGACAGCCTCATGATCTTAAGTGATTTGTGAGTCTGCTTCTATTGGATACCCAGGAAAAGCCAAAGGTTTGCAGATGTACAAAATACTTGAGTTATTTTAGTTGAGACATTCGATGATAAAATGGATGAATGAAGTGGGACCAAAACTGTTTGGTTAGGCTTACTCTCTCTCTGGCTGAGTGCGTGCTGTTACTAACAGGAGCTGCTGCTGCTGTTCCTGGTATCTTGTTGTGAATTAAACTGCTCTCTCCATCTCAGGTACAAGCATTTCTTCAGAGACCTGCTGGAGAACACCAGCCCAGACACTGCTGAGTACCAGAAACTTGCAAGTAAATGCTGGCACTTTGATCAATGATACACTCCTTGCTAAGAATATTTTGACTCCCACCTACTGCCTGGTTCCAAAGGAAAAGAATCTTCCTCTCTCTGGAGTGTCCCTGAGAACATGTTAGGAATAAAAATACAAAATAACTGCCTGTGAAAATGGCCTAATATTTAGATTGGAGAAATGGCAGCAGCTCTGATTTTTTTTTAAACTCTGCTGATTATGAGGCACTGGAACACTGGTAGCTCAAAGAATTTGTTGATGCCCGATTCCTGATAGAGTTCAAGGCTAGGCTGGATATGGTTCTGAGCAATGTGATGTATTTGAAGATGTCTCTGCCCATGACAGGTGGGTTAGAACAAGATGATCTACAAGGTTCCCTCCAACCCAAACCATTTTCTGACTCTCTTGGTCACATGCCTCAATTTTTTAAGTTAATTAATGTCCTTCATGCTATATCCAGTCACTAGAGATGTTCAGGCTCTCATGTAAGGGTAGTGCCATTTAATATCTTTATTAATGATCTGGATAAGGTAATTGAGAGCACCCTCAGCCAGTTTGCAGACAGCACCAAGTTGTGTGTGAGTGCTGATCTGCTGGAGGGCAGGAAGGCTCTGCAGAAGGATCTGCACAGGCTGGACCCACGGGCCAGGGCCAATTGTGTGAGGTTCAACAAGGCCAAGTGTGGACTCCTGTCCCTGGGTCACAACAACCCCTGGCAGTGCCACAGGCTGGGACAGAGTGGCTGGAAAGTTGCAGGGAGGAAAAGGCCCTGGGGGTGCTGACCCACAGCAGCTGAACATGGGCCAGTGTGTGCCCAGGTGGCCAAGATGGCCAAGGACATCCTGATTGGATCAGTAATAATGTGGCCAGCAGGACCAGGGAAGTAATTGTTCCTCTGTGCTCAGCATGAGTGAGGCCCCACCTCAAATCCCATGTCCAGTTTTGAGCCTTTCAGGAGAGACACTGAGGTGTTGGAACAAGTCCAGAGAAGGGCAGTGGAGCTGGAGAAGGGTCCGAAGCACAAGTATTGTGAAATGTGGCTGAGGGAGGAAGGGGTGTTTAGTCTGGAGAAAAGGGGTGACCTGATCACTCTCTACAAGTACCTGAAAGGAGGTTGTGGCCAGCTGGGGATTGGCCTCTTCTCCCAGGTAACAAGCAACGGGATGATGGAAATGACCTTGAACTGTGCTAGGGGAAGTTCAAAATGGACACTGGGAAGTGTTTGTTAGTAGAAAATGTTGTTAAACCCTGGAATGGACTGCCCAGGGAAGTGGTAGGGTCACCATCCCTGAAAATGTTCAAGAAATGACAGTCAGTGCCATGGTCTACTTGACAAGGTGGTGTTCATTCCTAGGTTAACTCAGTGATCTCACTAGTCTTTTCCAATCTAAATGATTCTGTGTTTTTTATAAGTAGTTAACACCACTTGTAGGGCATTTTCCTTTTTTTGCTTCCAAATGCAGGAAATTATTCCCCTCTCTGACGTTTCATTGGCAAATGTTTTCTAGAACTGTAGACTCGTTAATTGGAAAGAGGCCTCTGGAGGTGATCTAGTCCAATCTCTCACAGAAATTTCTGAATAAAGCTGTTGTTGATACTTGGTTTAAAACTTTTCTTCTTAATTTCATATTGTCTTTTCTTAGCAGGATGTATAAGGTGAAATACGCATGCATTTGTGATAACTTCAGAGTATGCTGCTATAATTTCAGAGACTGTGAAATCTGTTTGTGAAGTATCTCACTGGGTCCAAGACATCTTTGATAAGAGAGAGAACTCCTTGCAGCTACTTCGGGTTCAGAAATTGCTCAAAGGACAAAAGACACAGGTTTTGACTTCAGGTGGGTCTTACTGACCACTCTATTTATCTTCTGCCATGCTGAGATACCTGTACATATGCTCTCCTTCATCTCTGACTCAACTCACATTAACAAGTTTTCCCTTTCTGCCCAAATTCCACAGTTAGGTGGTAAAGGACTATGACTAGTAATGCAAGAACTCTTTCATTTTTAATTAAGAATTTTTGAGTAAGGATAAGCTACAGCTTAATTGCCTGACATTCAGATAGGAGAAGCTGATGAGATGTGGTTAGAAAGTTAGGAATCCAATAAAATCAGGAGTGCAAGTCCTGGATGGTAATGAAAGAGAGACACTAAATTCTTTTGGAAGAGTGTAAGCAGTGGCATTATCCCTACTCCATTGCAGGAACCATAGATGCCTGAGTATCAAGGGCACTAGAATTGTGTTGTTGTTTACTTTAAAGCTACAAGATTAATGGCATTCTGCTCACACCCTTCATATGAAGAATTTTCTTTGCATGGTTAAACTGAGCCAAAAATCACTGTATTTGTGTTGATTCTTGAGATAGATATAGCCACAGTCACTGGCATGTAAGAGCATTTCAATTGATAGGTCTCTTACACAACTGGGTGCTCTCCATGCCCAGACCACACTCTGAGCTATGTAGGAAATATTGTGAGAAATGTGCCCAGTCTGGGCAATTATGAAATGGTCATTTGGGGTTTCACCTGTAGCCTGCACTCAACTCTGCTGTTGCAGAGGTTATCCAGGCACAGTGCTGCAGCTGAACAGGATGCCTTATGATATAGAATGTCCCTTTGGGGATTTCCGATCAGCTGTTCCAGCTGTGAGCACTCCTATGTTCATGTGCACTCCCAACGTCCTCAGTTGTGGCTTGAGGAGGATGAAACATCTTTATACTGAGCAGTGCCTACACAGAAATGAACAAAAGATCCCTGTGTTGTCAATGGTGTTTTCAGTGCAAAACCAAAACAGCCACTATGGGAAAAAGTACCTCTATCCTAGCCAAACCAGCATAAGTACAACAAAGATTACTTATCAGAGGCTGTTTTCAAAGGGAATTTGTCAATGGGCAAATCAATTTACAATTCTCTTTCCTGTTCTTAGAATCTTTTTGGTGCTGCCAGGTGAAAGGGAGCTAACACAGGTATACTCTGTTTACACTGAGCAGAAGCATGTTGTTGGGGTGCCTGGGCAAATTTGGGGTAGTGTGTAAGTAAAAAGGTCAAACAGTTATCCTGATTAATGTTAGAACTAATAGGATAACACCACAAAAATAAACTAACACCCCAAAACAGTATAACTAGACCAGAGATGGCTATTGTTTCAAAGTGTTTGGTCCCCCAATTATTTTGGTCTCTGAAAATTCTGAGACACAGTAGGATGAGTGTTGAGGGTCACTAAAGGGATTTCCATAATCTAAGACAGAGAATTCTTGTAGAAATGTTTTTCCACTGGCTGCAGTTACATAGTTATCATTGGATATGAGAAGCACAAATGTAAGAGGCAACTGGGGCTTGCTTGCTTTGACCCAGCTTTCCAAAAACAAGATAGCTTTTGCAGGACAGTCAAGATTGTGTGCTATTGCCAGGAAGGAACAGGAGAGAAAACAATGCTGTAGATTCAGAACAAAGCAGGGGTGTTGGAGATGGGTCTCTCACACTTGCCAGTGTCTCTGAGATGTCCTGTTCCCAGTGAGGAGACCCTGCTTTTCTTGCTGCCTTCCATATTCAGGACAAATACAGAATCAGCCAGAACTGCCTCCTTAACTGAGAACATTGTTCTGTTACCCAGAGCTTCCCCTGGGATATTTTTCTTGCCCTTCTTTCATAACAATTTCCTAGAACTTGTACACCTGGGAATCCTGGACATAGATCTATATTGCAAAACTTCCAATCCAGTCTGTGTCAGATTGTATGCCTGTGAGTCTGATCACAGCACAGCCTGAGGGAAACAGATCCCAGCCCAGCCCCATGCTTCTGACACCTTCCTCCCATTTGTTTTTTTAAACCTGGATTGATTCCTGCACCTCACCTTCTCTGCCTCAGTTTCTTATTCAGGTAAGAGGAGTGGTTCCAGTGGAATAAGCAAAGCAGGAATTCACTCACTTCTTTGTTTGGTGACTATAGCATTCTAGTAAGACACAATCCACAATGAAAACACTGTGTTTTTATTCAAAAATGTATTTATAGCTCATGCAGAAGCTAAGGCATGAAATTCCCTGAGAGATGTTTCCTAAACGTGATCAGGTGGCAATACATTGTTATGGCTTTACATTTTTATAGATAACCTTACTGGCAGGAGTCCTCATAAATCCCATGAGTTCATGGCTAACTTCCACAATAATCTTAGAAGTCCTGCTTTATTTATTTAATCCTTTTTTTTACATTGCTGCTCACAGCTAGGCTTATCAAATTGTTTTGATTATTTCCCTCCTGCTTTCTTTTGTTCTTGTTTTATCACAATTAATTTCACAGGTGGATGACACTGGATTCTTCTTCAAGAGAGGTTGATAAGGTTGCCTATTCAGACCTTCCTCATTTTTTATCTCCTTTCATGCCTTCTATTTAGAACAGAGAGAACTCCCTCGTTTTGTAATCTGCAATCTGCATTCTCTTGGCTACTGTAGGTCTGTATGTAGTTAGATGACCTGTGAAATATGATTTTGTTTTATTTTTGGTAGGTTTTTTGAGCTTTTTTTTTAATTAGCACACACAAATAAAACAAGGAGAAAATTATAATTGTTCAAAGCTGAAGCTAGTTTCTATTATACCACTAATGACAAACAACTGGACAACACAACTTGAGATAGTTCATGTGTTTTCTGAAGGCTTATGTTAATTTAAAGGTATGCATAACATTGTCAAACAGTGATTTTGTTCTGATCACTTTAAACAAACTTGCACATGATAATATATGCTTAATTAAAATAGCAGATGTATAACAACTTCAGCTGCTCCTGATACACCAAACGTTTTAGGCTGGTTACAGCTTCTGCACGGGTGCTCTCCGTGCTGGTGGGCCGGACCCAGCTGACATCCAGTGCCTTCTAGTGGCTGGAATTGATGTAGAACACGGCAACCTACAAGGGTGGCTCACCCAGTATTCCTGTTTTATCTCATTACATCTTTTACTCTTTATTCCTGCCCACCCTCCCTCAGATCTCACAGCTGTCTCTGTTTCCCCGGCATGCCCAGGGCGCTGGTATATCCGGGAAGGCTGGCTTTCAGTGGTGCCTGCAAAGGGAGAAGAACTGAAGCGCAGGATGTTCTTCCTGTTCTCTGATATCCTCATTGCAGCGAAGCCCTGCCACCCACTGCACCTGCTGAACTCCAACAAACTGTCCTGCCGGGCTGTCTATCCGCTCCACCAGTGCTCGGTGGATAAAGTGTTCGGCCACACGTGGAGCCAGGGAGGGCTCCTCAGTGTAAGTCTTCCCACCTGTGCCAGGCAGAAGTGCCAGTGGAGTCAGGCCTGTAAGCAGGCCTCCAGCTGTCTCAGCAGCAGAGGGACCGAAATGATGACAGTGGTGAAAAAATACAGTGAGCAAGTCTGAGTTAGGACAACCCTGCCTTTCTTGAGTGGTGCAGGTACTTTTCCTTTCACGGTGTGGAGCCTCCTGCACACTCTGGGGTTACAGGCTGCTGGTTGCTTCACTTAGCTCAGGTAAGGAGGCTCCACTAGGACTCTGACATGTCCTCATCAGAGCCACAGTTTTGGGGGCAGCCCCACACTCATGTGACAATGAATTACACTGATTACATGTAGAAAAACAGAATGAAAAAGATGTGGATGTTATTGCAACAGATGATGTGCATGTAACTTCCTGAGGGCTGCAGATTCCTTGACAGGGACCAGAGTCTTCTGTAGGGGTTTCAAGGTCAGGTCTTCCAAGGCTTCACCTGTGGCTGTGTTAGCTTTTTTCTTGTGAGCTATGACAAAGAAACTCTTTGAGCAAGCTGTGACCTGTAGATGATTGTAGTGGAAGAACACCATGAGACATGGAATATGGTAGAAAACTGGATGAGCTGCTGAGAATCCTAATTGCTGACCTCCAAACAGGTCAGAACGAGCTGTCAACTTTGACTGGAAACCATGGACTAGACTGGCACTTGTTCTGTACTGTACAGTCTCTGGCTTCACTCAATATCAACACTAAATTTCTCTGTGTGGGAAGGATAAAAATTAGCATGCAGGGACTGAATTCAGTGGTGATGATTTTCCTTTTACTACAGTTACTGATTTTGCAAGGAATGCCACAGATTCTGCTTGTCTTTCAGCTTTCCTTCCCACACAAGACACTGCTGTTGATGTCCTGCAACCAACAAGAGATCAATGACTGGTACCGGAGTCTCACAGCTGCAGTCAGGTAAGCATCCAGGTTCCCGAGGTGGAAGAGGACAGGATGTAAGAACTGATCATTGGACCTGTGTGTGGTTATAAGGGCGATGGAAGCAGCCTGATCCTGGCAGCCAGGACACAAGGGAATAATGAGGAGAGTTTTCCCATATTAACTGTGACTTTCCTTTGTTTTCCTCTACAGGCAGCTGAAAGCCTGAACCACTCAAGTACAAGACAGTCTGGCAGGACAACCACCCTCATGGCAGAAGCTTCCACAATCTTATAAAATGTTCAGGGACATATAGTAGCACTGAATTGAGAAGGACTACACACTGTGTTTGTGAGATGATGAATGCTTTGTCAGCTGCCCTAATATTCATACAGATACTGCAAAATATGCATTTGTACACAAAAAACCCTGTTGTATCTAGGATTTCCCCCAATTTAGCTAAGAATCTTCTAGCTTTTTTTGCACTTTAGTAAACTCAAGATAACTTAAGGTCAAGCAGATGTGAGTGTGACTTGTTTTCCTTTTCCCTCATTAAATGTTTTTTTAGAGGTATTTTTGTATTTTGTTAAAGCCTCAGCATGGACTTTTAATGTGGAATTTGTGCAGCAGTTTGGTTCAGAAAACATGTATTTGAATATGGCCAACTGCAAAGAGGACAATTTCAAGGTTATTAGAAACATAAAGATTAAAGTCTGTCTGAACACTGACCTTGTGGCAGTTAAACTGTTGTTGTTCTTCCTTAAGCAGTACCACCCATCTTTAATTTCTCACTGGTGTTTATTAAAACAGAACTAGTACTATGTGAAATAAGTGTCTTGAAGAGAGAATGTATCATGGGGGTTCTTTGTCTTTCCATACAATTAGCTTGCTACACAGAGCCACTTGTTTAAATCTCTTAAGTTTGTGAAACCTGGGAGGAAGAAATGCAACAAAGTTTAGGAAGCCACACTAGTTCCATTGTGTATTGCCACGAAGAGTTGGGCCAAGTGTTCTTGAAGTCCTTTCCAACTAGGTATTCTATCCTGTGATTTTATATTTGGGTTGGTTTTGCTTTGTTTTGGGTTTTTTTTTTTTCACTTCCAAGTTACAGCTAGGACTTTCAAGTACTAGCTGTGCCTAAAATTAAAGACAAAGCTAGCAAATCAAGATTTTTACTGCTCAGTAGTTACACCACTCTAAAAATGTTCTGCTACTTCCCATTTTTGTTCCAGTAGAAGAGATGTCTAGCACTCCTGCTGCCTCTGAACCTGTGGTGTCTGTCAAGCTCTTCCTAGATTACTATGACTCATGCCTGTTTGCACCTTATAAGACACAATTCTTTTGTTGTCTCTTTACAGTACTTAGCTCAGTGTTACTATACTGTTTACACTCAGTGCTTTTGTAAAACAGCTTAAGTATCTTATATCTCACCAAACTTCCTACCCTGAAATGCTGAACAGTGGCTCCTAGAACACAGTTAGCAAATCCAGTTTTCTGGAATAAGCAATTAACTTACAAGCACAGGAATTATGCTGATCAGGGGAGGTTTAAATAGGACATGAAGAAGAATTTCTTTGCAGAAAGGGTGAATAAACACAAATGTGTTTATACATTTAATAAACACAAACTCCAGGATGTGGAGATTGTTAAAATTAAGACTGGATATGGCACTTAGCGCCATAGTCTGGTTCACACAGTGTTGTTTGATCATAGGCTGGACTTGATAACTTCAAAGGTCATTTCTGACCTAAATGATTCTCTGAACACAACTCAAATACAAGCAAACTGACTTTCTGAACAAAGTTTATTTACACAGAAAGTACCAATCATCACGGCTCCTAGCTTGGCTTCCTTCTGCTGAGTCTCTATTCAAAGCACTGGAAGCAGCCAGCGAACTCACGCCTGGCCACGGCAACTTCCATCACCCTCCATCCCTCCTGCCACGCCTTCCCTTCTCCAGGCCCGCCGCTAGACGGGGGTGCCCCGGGGCCGCGCGTCCTGCCGGCACCCCTTGAGCAGCTGGTTCAGCAGCGTCCTGTCGGAGTCGCGGCGCGGGCGGACGAGCGGCGGCAGCGGGTTCCCCTTCAGCTCGATCACCGCCATCTTCGCGCGGTCCAGCCCGTCCCGGTTGGGGATCTGCAGCAGCCGCGTGTAGCTGCCGGGGTGCGTCTGGAAGCGGGGCGCCAGCACCTTGAACAGCTTGTGGATGAGGTCCTTCTCCTGCTCAGGGGGCGGCACGCTCAGCCCCGGCTCCGCGGCGGGCCGGGACGGATGTGGGGCCGGGGGTACTTACGGTCAGCCAGAAATCCGCCATGCGCATGGCGCGCTCGTCCCTGTCCCCCCGCTTGGCGTAGTCGATGAGCTGCGGGGAGGAAGGAGGCGGTGGGTCAGGAGAGGCGGTGGGTCAGGAGAGGCGGTGGGTCAGGAGAGGCGGTGGGTCAGGGCGCCTCCCGCCGCCCCCCGGCCCGCTCCGGCGCGCTCCGGCGCCGCCGCTCACCCGCTCGGCGTAGCCGCGCATCTCGTCGGCCCGCGCCCAGGGCGTCTCGATGCGCTCATAGCGCACCAGCGCGGTCACCAGGTTCCGCAGCAGGTCCAGGCGCGACCGCGGGCTGAGCCCGAGCCGCCGGAACACGCGGCCGTGCGAGATGGCGGCGGCCACCGACAGCCGCATCGCGCCGATCGACCGACGGCCCGGCCGCCGCCGCCGCCTCCCGGCAGCGCTCGGGCGCCGCGCAGCGCGCCGGGAGCTGTAGTCGCAGCCGCAGTCCCGCCGTGCCGGAACGGGGCAGGCTGGAAACATGGTCCCGCCTTCCTGACGGAACAGGGTCGTCCTGAAGCACACGACACAGCAATGCGTTCATATTCTTGCGTATCTTGGATAAGGGAGACTCCGGAGCCTCTCCGGGAAATCCGTTCCAGGGTTCAGTCACCCGAACAACTTACGAAGTGGTTCCTCTTGCACAACTGGAACTTCCTGTGCACCACTTTCGGCCCGTTGTCGCATGTCCTACTGCTCGGCTCCACTAGCTGAGCCTAGTCCATCCCCCGACCCTTCCCTGCAGACACTGGCAGACACTGATGAGGTCCTCCCTCAGCCTCCTCGGGAGGCCGAACACGACCACCTAGCGCAGCCTTTTCTCATATGAGACACTCCAGCCCCTTAATTACTTTTGCCACTCTCCACTGGACCTGCTCCAGGAGCTCCACGTCTCTCGCGCTCCAGTTCTGCGCACAGGAGCCCAGAACTGGACACAATGCTCCATGCTGAGTAGAGGAACCTGATCGCCTCCCTCGCCCTGCTGGCACTGCTCTTCCTCACGGAGTTCAGCCCGCAGCCGCGTACCGGGACAGGGAGCGGGGGCAGACCCGGCGGAGCGGGGAGATGCTTGCGGACACAAAGGACCCGCGCCGCGGCGATCCAGTGTCCCGGCGGTCCTCTGTTAGTTCTTTTTAAAACTATCGGATGGAATTTAATTAAACAAGCAGATTTAAAAATGTCTGACTTTAATACAGTGCTCTTTAACTGGTTAAAAGTTCTGCATCATGTCATACGACTACCATCTTGCTTTCTCCAGATGCACACATCAAGTAACTGAGATCCTGCTTTCCATGAATTTTTGGCTGTTCTGTTCTGTTATCCTCATACAGTCACAGAACAGCACTACTAGCGGGATCCCCAGTACAGCCAGGAACTCCTTTGTCTAGCTTTTCTGCTAACCATAGATTTTTGTCTTTAACACTTTCTTTAACACTTTGCTTCCACTATCTACTTTCTAAAACCGAAGGCAGTGGTTATTATGACTACTCCGAATTTTGTCTTTTTATTTCTTTTTTTTTTTTTTTTTTTTTTTTTTTTTTTTTTTTTTTTTTTTTTTTTTTTTTTTTTTTTTTTTTTTTTTTTTTTTTTTTTTTTTTTTNTTTTTTTTTTTTTTTTTTTTTTTTTTTTTTTTTTTTTTTTTTTTTTTTTTTTTTTTTTTTTTTTTTTTTTTTTTTTTTTTTTTTTGTTACTCCCATGATTTACTATGACTTATAGATACTTTCCATTTAACTTTGTATACACATTTACCCACATATGGGGGATTTTGGATCCCGGCGATGGAGTGGGATCCTGCCAGGGATGACAGCCCGTCCGACGTGGTGCCCGCCCTGCATCTACCCTTGAGGCATTGCGCAGGCAGCGTGGGCTTTGCAGGGACGAAGGGGCAAGATGGGCTTCTTCTGCGGACACAGCCCGCAGGATGTTCCCGGGGCTGCGGGGCTGGGCTCGACTGGATGCCTGCGAGGGGCAGGCAAGGCCTGATGGAGAGTATGTGTTGTTCCCCCTTTTCCCCATTACTGGTGGCGGGATGCCGGAGAGCTCCGGATCCCCGTACCGCATCCCCGGGCTGTGCAGAAGCTGCACACACAGGCCAGCGTGGGGTGGGGCTGCTGGATCCAGCCTCGTGTAGCCCTGATGTGGCACAGGAGCCACATTCATCCACAGAGCAGAGGTGGCTGTGTGCTTTATTACCACAAAGACTGAAACCCACCCCAGCTTGCAAGAGCTCATGTCCCAGAGTCAAAGAATTATGATAGTATTGTTCAGGTCCAAGAAAAGTGCTAGAAGGCAGCATAAAGAGATTTCCTGCCATCTGTTTCTTCCAGCCGACATCACCGTGTTTCAGAGAAAGGGCAGTGTGTAATAAAAGCAGCTACCAACAGTGTAAGAAAAAATATCTTTGTTATTATGAATGCATCATAAAATCACAGTCATCTTATACACATTTTAGTATTTTATATATAAATAAAGTGAACACTACAGTTATTGGAATGTGTAAAAGGAACAAACATACGGATATTTTAAAATGTGAAATTAACAGAGGATTGGACCCCATCCCCACCTTTTGTTGCTGTTCTGGGACTTGGTACATTAATTCTGAATTACTTCTAGGCAGAAGGCTATGCAAGCTGTGATGCTAACAGTAACTCCAGGCATGACCCTAATTCTATTTACAACTCTCCTTCCCCTAATTTAGCCTGACTACATTGGAATTCTTGTGTGTCAGAACTACAGCTTTGCAAGAAAGACCAAATCTTTATGTACTTTGCACAGTGTTGAAAAAAACAAAATTTTTCAGGATTCATTTTGTTAAATCTGTTAATCAGAATTTTCTTATCACTAAACACTCTTACAAATGCTCCCTTTAAATATATTTCTAATATTAATAAAATAACAGATTCTTTATTATCCTTCTGCTTATAATTTGATGTCTTAACATCAAAATAATATTTCTTTCTAATAAAATTATACATACCATTTATAGGAAACAAAGTTGTCATGTGCATAAGCCTGGTAATGAGACTAACCATGAGTGTAGAAGTTTCTACTTTCTTGTTCTGGATTCTTGGGAGAGTTTGTTATTTTTGGAGCCACAGAGTAATAAATAATTTGCAAGGTAGTGGCTTCTCTGGCTACCAGTTACAAAACTTAAAATTGGAAATTATTCCTCTGCTCTGGCTTGATAAAACATTTGGTATGCTGAAGAAAATGACACTCTTCTGAATCTTTATGTGTTTACCCCAAAATCTGAACGAAATCTTGCTGATGCAATGTTTGATGAGTTACCACAGAGGTAATCTGAAATGAGAAAGTTCCATGCAAAGATCTCAGCTGAATGCAGACTGAAGGCTTACCCTTCCCAGCCAGCTGTGCTCAGAGGGGCTCTCCCTGCTGCAGGAATTCCTATGTCATGTTGGGAGGTCTTTGCCATAGTGTTCCCTCCTTGATGCTGGTACTCAAACAGTTTTGAGGCAGAAAATCTGGGCAGAGGAGGTTAACAAGGGCAAACCCAAGGAACACATTCTATCACCTTTTTTAAGTACTGTGAAAGCCAATGATGCTAGCTCCAGAAAGGGAAATCACTGAGGTTTCCATTCAGAAAGGCACATAAGCATGTGCTGTTTATATTCATGAATCTGTAGAAAAACTTGCTGTACTAACAGCAAAATATTTATTTTAGCTGCTTTTCTGGTCCAGTGTCAGAATAGCTCTTTCCTTGGCACTGTTACAGCTGGGCATTGTCCCCTCTCCTTGAATTTATGGTCAGACTGTGGGAACTTCTCATTTGGTATGTGCCTCTATTCTGAAAAGCAGAACTTAGAATTAAAATAAGTGCCTTTTTTAGACTACATCACCTTGTGGGCTGTGGGCAATAGTATTTAGTTTGTATTGGCTCATCTAACAGAAGTTAGATCATTCAGATGGTCAAAAACCTGCAGCTACTAATTTTCTAGTGGGAACCAACCTGATCCAGCAGGGTGCAGTAGTAAACATATGAAAGGGTTCCATAATTTGCTGGATTTAAAAATGCAACATTTGACATTTAACAAACTTAATTAAGATTACATATGCATAAATGACATAATTTATACTTAGTTACACTTGAAATTATGAAATTAAATGCCTCAGTTCATGCTATCTTTGAGATTTTTTCCTAGCCTGCTGCATATAAGACCATCCCTCTTTTGGACACAGATACCTCCCTCAAGTCTCCCTTATTATATGATTCACAAGATTACTTGGATCTGCAGCTGCTGGCAGAGCTCCTCCCAGACAGAGGAGAAGCCCAAGGACCACAGAGTTAGATTACTATAAATTTTTTTCAGCTATCCAAATGAATTAGGCATTGCTTTGTAAATGCTGATACAGACATAATGTGAAAAGAAATACAGAACACTCATGTTCTTAAAAGCTAATGCCCTGGCTTGTGGCTTAGTGGCAGCGAGACATTGAGAAACAGCTTCAGGAATGAACACATCCTCTTAAAACAATACACAAAAGTTATGGAAAAATCTAGATAGCCAGCTGTTTATGTAGCGTGACCTGTACTGATGCTGTCAGAATTGCACCAACTATTTTTTGGCCCAGAGAATGTGGAATGGAATCAAAACCTTTATGTGTTATCTGAAAAGGCCCTTCTTATATTTTTAACTGTATTTATTCTACTGGAACATGCAAGCCCGGAAAAACATGGCAAAATAACAACTTTCTCTTTGCATTTGTGACATGGACGCTACCGAACACTAAAAAGACTGTAGAAGTAGCAGATACACAGACACAATTTTGAAATTTTGTGCTTAATATACTCCATTATATTCTAAGCATGGCAAAGTTCTCAGTAATCCAAAAGAAATGGCAACATACATCATCCATGAGGTATGGTATAACTTGTGCATCCAATTTTCCAGTGTAAATAAAGGGAACTCCCTTTTATCCCCATTCACAAGCATAGGATCCCATGTGCAATACCTCACCTTAGCCATCCTTGTACCAGTTGAAATGTTCTGTCATGTGCACTCCTGCTCCTACTCACACTCCTCGTAGACCCAGCCAAACACACTGCCACTCTGTGGTCCAGTTTGGTGAAAGCCGTTTAGGTTGGTCTCATGCAGCAGAGGAACAAAACAGGTGGAAGCTCTATGCAAACATGAGGCCTCTTTCTGGTCTTGATTTCACTCAGATTTCAAAATTTCACCAATGAAGATATGCACCTGCAAGAAGTCAGAACCTGACTCTTTCTGTAAGGCTGGGATATATTTTGTTCTTGCCAATAAGCCTGCTTGATTCACTTGTGTTTTGGTTTCCTGCTTTAAACATCCCCTTTATCTTAATTATCTTTGTGTAATGTATCCAGCACAAAGCTGTTGAGAAAGCTAACTGGCCTTCACACTGAGCAGTGGGATAATGGCAAAGAAAAAGTAGTGCTTGTATTGTCCTAAAGTAGTTTAGGACGCACACATCTTTTGACTGTCTTTGAACAATACTCTAGCAACACAAAGCTGAATAGTTTCCTGATCAAGCAACAGCACTCTTGTTTAACCCTTCAGTGTATTTTTTTTTGCCTTTTTCTGCCTTGATGAGGCATAATAGAGGACATGTGGACTCTGCTGTGAAACACGGGTCCACTCCTCACACTCTCCTATGCCTGGGGACAGTAGCTGGAGACTTGAGTTTAGTGGCATAATTTATTTGCATTCATAAAGTAACTGTGGACCAAGGTGTTCATCATTAACATCATTCAAGGATGATGTTCAGCTAACCCTTTGTCCTTGGCAAAATTTGTGTACTGGGTCATTTGGACATAGAATGCAAAGCAGGCAAATGGAATGCTGTGGTCTGTGTTATTAGCTAGAGCATGCCTTAATCATACTATATGCTAAGAAGGCTTTTTGATAGTCTAGGTACAGTGCACAGTGCAGGCTTGGCAGTATGGAATTTCTGCAAGGAGGCTACTACCATGGACCAGGAAAGCTATAGTACAGGCAGCATGGTTCAGGAAAAGCAGAAAGAAAAATGGGAAATTATATCTATATATATATATAGACATATATATATATATATATATATATATATATAACATTGTCAGTGCATTTTTTTAATATTGAAGAATTCTAAAGAGCCTTTTTTTTCAGTAGGAATAGCTAGGGGTGGTCTGCCTTCTGTATCCTGGTGCTCCTGGATGTTGCCCGTGGTTTGTAGTCTTCTCCGGATCCAAAATCTACTGTGTCATGATAGTTTGTGAATTCCTGAGGTAATGGAAACTCTTCTGTTGATGAATGAGTCCTGTGTCCAAACACTCTCTCTTGCAGCTCAGCGATGTCATTTCTGATGTCTGCCATCATCAGCAATAGGAAATCAAATGAACCTGGTGGGCCCTGCAGTCACAAGGCACTGCTGTTAATAACAATCCACCTTGCTCTTACAGTTCTCAAACTGGCTGATAGAATTACTTCTGCAGGGGGTGTTCAGTAAAATCCTGCTTGGTATCAATTGCTGAAAGCTAATGGTCTGCTTTTTAACCACCTTCAATCAGGAAACAATTTTTGAAAGAATCAAATGTTTTTGCAGACAGAGTTTACATTTACAAGATGCTCAGCCCTTTTGTCAGTTAACAATTCCTTTGCTTAATAAGAATATCTTCAGATCTCATAGGAATAGAGGAGATTAATCTTGGTTTCTTGTCTTGTTGCTTATTAAACTGACATAAATTACATTCTTAGAATGATTAATCAACAAATGCTTTTAAGACTACTATTATTTGTCAAGTGTCTTTCCAATATGCAACCTCACTGCTGTCCATCACTTACTAAATATATTGGTAGTTACAATGCAGAGAGTATCTGATTTTAGAAAATCATTATTTCTTTTTGGCTGACTTCACACAGTAAAATAAAAATAACAGTAAAATAAACTGTTAATACTGAGCACAGTCTGCCAGGCACACTCTTAAAAATCAACCCACCAATGAGAAAATACAATAAATAAATGAATAGAGTCATAGAGTGTTTTGGGTTGGAAGGGACCTTAGAGACCATGTAGTCCCAGCACTTCTGCCATGGGCAGGGACACTTTTCCATAGACCAGATTCCTCAGAGCCCCATCCTGCTTGGTCTTAAGCACTTAGAGGGATGGGGCACCCACATCTTCTCTTGGCAACTTGTGCCAGTGTCTCACCACCCTCACAATAAAGAATATCCTAATATCTAATTTAAACCTGCCTTCTTTCGGTTTGAAGCCATTCCTTTGTCCTGTCACTACATGCCCTTGTGAATAGTGCCTCTCCATTTTTCTTGTAGATTCCCTTCAGATATGCCATTAGGTCACCATGATGCCTTCTCTTTTCCAGGCTGAAAAATCACAACTCTCTCAGCCTTTCCTCTTAGGAAAGGTGCTCCAGTCCTCTAATCAACTTGGTGGCCTCCTATGGACTTGCTCGAGCAGGTCCATGTCCTTCCTGTGCTGGGGACCCCAGAGATTTTTTTAAACAAGTTTGCCTGAAAACAGATTGTCATTATTCATTCCTTCTTCTGAGCTCAAAACCTCTAATTTCCCAAATCTGGCATAGGTGAGGGGCAGGATTTTAAAAGGTTCCAGGGAGCAAATTCCCACTTGGAGCAGAGGTTGAACTGTACTAAGTAGCACTCTGCATGGTTCTGCCTTCTAATGATGTCTAAGCACCGGTGTAAGACAGAGGTGCACCTACTGCCTTTGGCTGCATACCCAGCAAAGGAAGAGGTTTGTAAGCAAAAACATTTGGATGAAAACAGGTAATTACTTGGTTTCTAATAACATTTTCTATGTATGTAAATTATCTGTTATCTTGGCACAGGAGTTTCTTTTATTTTCTTTTTATTTGGCTGACCTGTGGTTAGTGGTCAGCATTACTCTGTTGTGGAAATTTCTCCTGTGTGGAATACTTACAGGTATCCCCTTTGGTCCTGGTGCTCCTCGCTCCCCCTGTAATCAATACCACCTTAGTTAGTTTGCTGTGACTAAAGGAAACTGGAAAAGTTTGCTTCTTCAGCCTCACTTACTGTCCCCAGATCAAGAATCAGCTGATGATTGTACGGAAAAAGAAAAGGAAGTGAAGGAGGAATGCAAGGAAATTGCTGCTGATTCTAGTGGGAGCAGAGTGGGGCATTTCTGATATTTCTCTTGGACAGTAACAAGCGAATCAATGAACAAGAAGAATTCACAATAATGAAAAGGGCTAAAACATCAACATTTCTTCATGGAAAAGCCAAAAGAGCTGCAGAGAAAGAAGAGAATTCTGTGTGGCATGGAGTCTAGCAGACTATTTGCAAGACTTCAGGAATGGCAAACACAAAATAGTAGAAAGATGACATGAAGCAGTGGGACAGTAAGAGACTTTAATTTTAACAAAGGAAATGAGGTAGTAAAAGGTTATGACCACAAATGTGTAGTCCCTGTAGCAAGGCTGCACTTCATATGTGCATGTGCCCATCTTATGGAAATTAGTACCTCTCCTCACCTTGCTACCATCTCTCCCAGGGGCGCCAGGTGGGCCCTGCAAGAGAAAAGAAGGTATTCATAAGGGTGTGAGAAGTTGTGGAGTAAGGACAATTGTGCAGTGCATGGCAGGAGACAGGAATACTGACCACAGGGCCCCGTCTGCCCTGTTTAATGTGTGATATGTCTGGAGATGGGCCCATTGGTCCCATTGATCCACGGGGGCCTGGCTGTCCAGGAGGTCCAGGTAATCCAGGAGCTCCTTGACTCCCTTTAGGTCCTGGAGCCCCTGAAATCAAAAGCAAAAGTTACCTGCAAGAGAAAGCCTTTATGACACTTCATCAGTGTAAGAAGTAGGGAATGACTTATTTTTTAAAGACCCAATGGGCTGGTTACTTTAACACACACAAATCCACAACAACACGATCGATTTATCTGCATCTGCGACAACATTAACCCTTGTCATAGGGCTACAAGAGATGACCAACAAACAGTTACATCTGGTGTATAACAAGAATTCAAATCTGCCAGGTGCTTAGGGACACAGACTGGGAATGAGAAGAAGAGCACAAATGTCTCATTTTCACAAAGAAGAAAATATCACATTTAGGAGCATCTCATTAAAAGAAAGCCTCAGAAAACTCATGGGAATTTGGGTCATGGGCAGCTACATGACTGACACAAGCAAGATGTGTGGGGTGTGGGGCTGCACCTCTCTTTTTCCCAGTGCAATAGCCAGTGTGTTACGAGGCTCCGTTCTTCTATCCTGCTTTATATAATTTTCAGCTTTTGCTTGTTCAGGAGAGCATGTTACTCTTTAGGAAGCACCCAGGCAACAAGACATGTTTAACTCAAAAGAAACAGTCATAAAAATAAACCAGAAAATCAGGCACCTGCAAAAACATTTGCACACAAAAAAGCACCATTAAAATGCCACTAGCTGAAACTTCATGATTAGAGGGGAAACACTTCTCTTCATACTGGGGGCACATGAAAAACATAGAGAATATAAGACAGAGAGTAAAAAGCACTCAGCAGGACTGAATATGTACAGTTGGGATTTTCAAAAGGAGACAACTCAAGTTCAGTAATGACTCCCTGGGGGCAGCAGAGGAGGTGAACAAGGGTGGCTTTAAGGGTTTTTTTAGGGGTGGTTTTCAGATTCCTACAGTACCTTGGACAGCTCAGTCAAGGGGAAACCCAGTGGGTGGGAGACCTGCAGGATCAGGCCTCCCTTGGAGGAATTGCAAAGTAACCCACTCTACCCTTCAGAGTCTGTTGCAGAACCTCCAAACATATTGTCCTTGCACTTACAATGAACTGAAGACTGAAGATACCCATCCTCCAGGAAAATGAGATAATGACTCAGAAAACAAAGCAAGACTGCAAAAGGGGGTGTAAATGGGAAGATGGGGTGCAGTTCAGTGGGGAGTAAATCAATCTTCATAAGGAATATTTGCCAGTACTCTGTAAGAATCCTTCTGAAATCCAGCACAATGCTTGGATTTATTTCTGACCCAAAATTAGTTCTGCATTAAACAGAACTTGCAAAATTTTGAGTATTGATGACCACCAGATGTGAGTTGTTTGGATTAAGTTTGGGCTTTAGGATCTCTCTGGTTTTCACATTGTTTCAATCTATAACTTAGCAAAGAAGGTGTGAGTGGAGTTATACTTTTATTTTCAGATTTCTTTCAATCTGGGATATAACATAAAACCAGCAGATGAATCCTCATGAATCAGGCAAAGAAAAATAATGGATTTAGCACAAACTCCTATGAGCTGTAAGCACATATTCTACTACTGACAGTGAGCTGAAGCAATAGGTGTTCCTGAAATGAAATGGAGAGTGTTTTAAGACAGAGCTGAAATACAGGAAATGACAACTGAAGCAGGTGAGATATCCCAGGGAGAGCGAGAAATTTAACACGTACAGGACAAACACAGCTTGCATGCCAAGAAACACATGGAGTTACAATGGATGATGTCAGATAGTTGGCAGAGCCTGACTGTAACACCCATAAAGTTTTTTGTTTGGTTTTTTCTTTTCTTTTTTTTTATTTTTTTAATTTAGTGCAAATGCTAACATATCAATCAAAATATGAAATATATTAAATCATGTGATATTAAATGAAATATGAAAGCACACTGGCAGACTGAAGTTTACTTTTTCAGTCCTAAACATTCCTGCACAACACTTCTGCACATTTCCACCTCTCTGGTATTACCTGGAGGGCCTGGTTGGCCAGGCTGGCCTGGGGGGCCAGGGATATATGCATTAGAGGCAAGCACTTTTTCACCAGTGATTTGCTTGCTAAGGTCAGCAGCATTATTTGGCAGCAAAGCAACCTGCCAAGAAAAAAAAATCTATATAAGACCTTCATTTTTCAGCCAGAAAAATTACATTCTTATTTAAGCTTTCAAACAAACAGCTATTTAAATATTTCAGGAAAATATAATGAGTTTATTCATATCCTTGATTGATATAATCAGAAAAACATTCTTATTCCGTGAGTCTGTTCACTTTTCAAGTCACTGTGGAAATACTGCAAGCCAATCCAACAGAGGATAGAGGAAATTCAAGACAGATACAGCAACAAGTTCAGAAAAACTTGAGTCTCATTACTGCTTTTCAGGAAGCCTCTTTTTCCTTATTTGAAGTTTCCTCTATTCATTTAATTCTTTCTCAGGGCAACATTTGCTCAGATATTTAAGTCTTGAATTGCTGCACAAGCCACTAACTTTCCATAGATTTTAATGAGAACCTAAATCCTTTGTGAATCTGGCCCTAAAAGTAACCACACTCTTTAACCCATGAGATGTCTGGATCTACTCTGCACAGAGACACAAAGATAAAGTAAGTGGGAATGCAAGCAGAATTGCACACTACAGTTTAAACTGTCATTATCCATTACCTGTTTAATTATCCATGAAACATTCATCTATCTAGTTGAATATATTTAATATGTAACATATTTAGAAATATTCTGCAAATGTTTAGTCTTTTAAGTGGCAGCTGAAGGGTGCCTGGAGGAGCCAGGAGGCTGGTGTGCAGTGAGGAAAGAAGTTTATTAGTGGCTGCATGTAGACTTACGGATTTTGCACTGCCAAATTGAACTGGAAAACTATTTCAGCAACAGCAGTGCAGACCTACCCTGGGAGAACTTTGTTGCTTCTTGAATGAATTTGGCTTATTGGATAATTTGATGCTGAATTCTGCTAGATTTAACTGTGAGATCTGCATTGAATTATATAGATGATGACTCCTGCTATTTGACAAAGCTTTTAATCAACTATCTGGAATTCTTCGATTTTGGCTGTTCTTAAGACTCCTACCTGCTTCTGTAATTATTTGACATACATTCTTCTGCCACTACTGGAAACCTAATGTTTGTAATGCAAAGGGAAAAAACAGTGTTATGCACCTGCAGTACCTGCAGTGTCCTGCAGAACTGGATAAATTTCCTTTGGCAAACAAGTTATTGCTTAAGGATTGCAACTTAAAGGCAGCCTGTTATGCTTTTAGTTTGGAGTTGAATGCACAGGACAGTTCTGAAGGAAAAAAATGTCAGGACAAAATTTGGAAATGCTGAGGTAGTTCTTGGTGGCATTTCCAAAACGTCAGTTTGATTTTGAGACTGGAACTCAAAATGTGATGACAGGAACACAAGAATTTATCAGCCATTTGTGAGTAAGATTTTGGAGAGAACTGCAATTCCAAAGAGCAGATCACTGCACTACAGGCAAATTAAGAATCATGATGTATGTCTAACAAGAATTTGGTAGATTCACTGCAGAAATCAGTGGCTGGATGACATATTTTCACAGAAGTCCCACAGGGTGTTTCTTATATTCTCACCCCTATGAATTAGCTTTTCACACAGAAAATGGGGATTCACCTATAGCTCTGGGGTGAGCTGTCATCTCTGCTTTTTCAAAGGAAAACATGTGCTTTGTTTACCAGTGACCTTGCAGTTTTCTTAGCCAACATCGCAGCCAGTGCAGCACAGGCCAAACTGTGGGGCTGCTGAACATAGAGGCTGCTCTGTGGTACACAACTCCCTACCCCTGGAGCTGAAGAGGAAAATTCAGTAGCTAGGGGCTCTCACAGCCTCACTGGCCAGGGATCAGCATGGGAAGATCTACTGGCTGGCTCTGGTCAGCAAAGTTTTGTTTCCTAGAGGTGTGTCCTGTTCAGACCAGCTTCCTGGCTGGATACAAAGGCTTGCAAGGACCATGGTGCAAAACTTCCACTGCATGACACAAATCAATCAAAAACTCTGCGGTTCCAATGCTGCCAAGCTAAAGTGGAGACAAAAGGTCAAATTCTGTTGATACCTGAGAGTATTATATTTCTAAAGTAGTTTTTTGGAGAATATTTTCAGTGTCATCAGTGAGTGCTTCTCCTTAGGGGTGGCCATAGTTGAGTGGCAGATTAATTTAAGTCCTCTTTTTAGCTTCCATGTAAGTATCTCATTCTGGGGATCTATAGCTATATCAGTTGATAAATAGATGTCACTTAGTACATAGACCTGGCCATGAATACTCTTCAGTTTATACTGCAAATGGTCAGACTGGAGTAAAAAGGTGCACTTAGTGGCAAAGACTCATTATGAAGCGGATTTGGAAGTGTATTCTCATCTGATGCTTAAATATTTACTCATTCCTGCCAGCCAGGCTGTTATAACAACTAAGTTAGAAAAGAAATCATAGTGAAAGCATCTATGCGTGCTTCCCCACTGACTCAGCTGGACTTGAAGTACACACTAGGAGTGCCAAAACACTCAGGCTCTGGTCTAGCTCACTGCTCCTTGATATCTTCTGGCCAGAAAATGGTTGTTACGTGCACTGGGTCAAACCATGTGTTTTTGTTGTTGACTCACATCCTCTTAGCTATTGGATATACTCACTGGCCTAATTTCTGTTTCACCTTTTAACTGAACCAGTTAATCCTAGTCCAGGGTAACCTTGGTTTTCTCCATCTACAGCTCCGAATCCTAATGGCATTTGGAAAATGTTTTGGTTATTTTTCCCATTTGCATAAAAAATATTAGCAAGGGTAAATTCTAAAGAAAGACTTCTAAAGAAACAAGTATTCCATGTGCTGTGTTACATGCTGCATTTGGAGTTTTGCATAGTTTCAAGGAGGTCTGTGGTTTAGAAAATTGGACAGTGCTTGTCAGGACTGATGTGGAACATGGCTTTCTAATTAAGATGCTTAAACACATCTGTGCAATAGGATCAAGCTTACTTGGTTTTTCCTTCTTTTAATTGTTGGATGTGTGTCAACATGCCAGATATATTTTCCCCACTTTTTCAGCTTTGCACTCTTCTTGCTTTCATCAAGGTCTTAGATCAACCTAGGATTGCCCACAGACCTCTAGTCTATCAGGACAGTGCATCTCATTGGATGACAGGCATTTCTGCTAATTTTGAATAAAATTCATAAAATTTGAAAGCCTTAACCACAAGACTGAAGACTCATTTCATAAAGCATCTCCCTGGCAGAGAGAAATGAACTTTTCTATGCAAAACAGAACCGCTTTAACCACAACTATTGAAAGATGTCCTCCCCAGGAGAACTTGGCCATAGGAAGTGGCTGGGGAAACATGAGGGTTGATGTCTCCCTGGGCAGAGAAGCACCATGGGGCCAGGTCTCCATTCAGCATAGACAAAAAGTCTCTTTTCTGTGGGGTAACAGTTGCAGAGGGTATTGGGAACCTTCTCTTTCAGCTCCTTCTCTGTGGAGCACAACCCTGGGGGCTCCGAGGATGCCAAGTCAATCCAGTCTCACTAGGGGCATATGGGGGGAAAAATTAAGTTAGGGACTATGACAGGATTTAGCTACAAAGCAAGAGTGAGCTGCTTAATTTGTCCAGTTACTGTACAAATGCCTACAGTGACAGGTATCAATGGTCTGAATTTTCCTGGAATGAGTTTTGAACACAAGCATCTAACAGCAGAAGTTAGACACAAAAACCTCCCATTAATTCCATCAATCAATTCTTGAGCAAACAATGTGGCCAACAATGTGACCCCCAGATCCTTCTCTGGAAGTCAGTGTGAGCCTGTTCAGCATCATGGAAAACAGCTGGAGAAACAGCCACTCAAAGGCATGGATCCTTTTTTAACCTCTCTGCTACCATTTTTTTGAAAAGCAGAATTCCCAACACATATGTAATTTTGTCACTTCCATATTTGTGTTCATACTGATTCAGAAGGAATATATGATGTTTTGAGATTTTGGAGATAAATAGTATCTCCAACCTCAGTGAATTTCACTTTAATAAGGAAGATTTCTTTCTTCCTAATATTAAATGAGTAACATCAAATGCAATGAGTGAATACACCAGATTATGTTTTGACACAATGGAAAGAAATTAATTGAGTACCCTAGGAGAAATAATTACAGCCTGTCAGCATAATCTGCTGAGAATGTTCCTACAGAGAGCTTCAATTTGAGAGAACCTTAGTGCTCAAAGGAGCTGTCACCAGAAAAGGCATTACACCTGCATCCCTGCATATGGCTCTCCAAATCTGAAGCTGCGTCTTTATCTCACTACTCACTTTTCATTATTGCACTACTAAAATGCAAAAGGAAGCTACATATGTAAGCAATTAAAGCCCAGGAAAAGTTTCTAAATGCACTATTCTTTACTGGCAGGTGAATAGGTAAGGGAAAAAAAAAGGGTGACAGAGAGTTTTTCTTTTTTAAGGTGGAAAGTCATATTTAAAGCTAGTGATACTTTTGTTTAGCACCACACCTATTTGGCAAGAATCCTGTACCAGTACCCAATAATGAAAAATCATGTTCCCACATCTATGAAAGGTCTTGCACATGATTACTCTAGAGATGGACCATGTCCAAAGTTCTGTGCATTCGGAGTGGCTGAAAAACTCAGGCCAGCACAGATTGCCAAGAAACCTGGGCTCAGCCTGGGATGGGTGTTTGTCAAGACTCTGTTACCACGAGCTTGGTAACACAGCTCCATGAACTTGGGGAGTAATCTGCTTGCAAATTGGACAGGGGCATAAGGGAGAGATATCATTCCTACATGATTTAAAAAATATATTGCCCTTCTCTTTCTATGTACAAGAACCACATGTCAGTGACAGCTCCAAACATAGAAATTAACCTCAGTTTTTGTAAAACATGCAGGTCTGGTAAAGACATGAGTGATCATACCTTTTGCTTCAGCTGTAAAACTGTCTGCTTTATTTGATGGAATTCCTTACAAGAGGCACAGCATGTCCCCAGTTTCGCCACATTTTCAGATTTCTCAGGAAACCCAGCTGAAAGAAAACAGTTTCCTCTATAAATGTACAGATCCGAATGTAAATTCATAAAGTGATAGCAAAAGCAACTTGAAGTTTGTTATATTTCCCCAGACTGTGAAAAGAGAAGGGAATCCTGCCATTATTAATTCTTTGACTGTGAATTTCTATGTAAGGCTGAGAAACTTTGCAGGGACAGCTCTGAACACATTTTTAAAGCAGCTGTTTCCAGTTAACAGTCCCCAGAGAATTCATTTGTTTAATACCTGGAAAAGTTCACACCCCTTCTTTTATCTTTTTGTTTAGGGTAGACTAACCCCATAGATCTGAAGTGACTTACAGTCCCCTGAAGGGCAAATTTTCATATGCTATAAATTACAGTAAAATCCTTCAGAATATGCTTATTTTGCTCATTTTGCACAAACTGCTCTTTATCATCATGGGTTATTCTCCATGTGATGGAATCAGCCTGAGCAGAGATGGGGATTGAAATTAATGACAGGGATTTAAATCCACACAAAAGGAAGGGTCTCATCTGTTGATACTATGCATGAATAGGATCTTTTCAAGAATCCATTAAATTATTCAAACTGTGAGAGATATTGCAAATGTTATTTTTGTCCTTTTCCCAGTACCATACACAGTAAAGCAGTTCTGCATTACAAGCAAACAAGCATTGTTGTAACAGATGTCTGCTTAAAGACAAATCTGGTTTCCAAACCACAGGGTGACACATACTGGCAAGCTGTAGGTGTGTTTTCTTCACTTCAACATTGCTGAGAAATATCAAGTCTATTGAGACTTTGCACATGATATGTAGCCTTGTAAGGGTTACCTTCGAGGGCTGCTGGGTGTGTTTCAACACTGACCTTTGAGAGCATGTCCCACAATGGAAAAACTCTGCAGGTGCTTCTGTTAAAGCCAGGGAATCTTCAAAGTCTTCCAAAAAGATCAGCTGCATAGTGCTGACTTATGGTGTTGCACTTGTCTCTTGGACACACCCTTAAATGCCCTTCATCTTCTCGGAAATGTGTATTGATTTTGAGATATCTGCATCTTTTGAAATGAACCCTGAAGTTTCTAGTAGTGAAAATATCATGTGCTACTTGACTTCAAATATTTCCAGGGTCCAGTACAGAAGATGATATACTGGTTTTAGAAGACAAAAATTAATCTCACTTATCTGCTAATCAGTTAGGAGAGAGAGGTAAGGGCAAGATACTGGAATAACCAGGAGCATTAAGACAGCTACTAGTACTGAATGACTGGAAAATTGGGGCACAAAGGCCTGTTTTTTTTCCCCAGTCACAAGCTGCTGGTTCCCATGGCTGCACTCCAACAGCCTTACTATATTACATATATTATTTACCATTTTTATGGCAGCAAGCACACTGCTGTTTGAGCTTCCCAGCCCTTTCCTCAGCACAGGTTTGGTACCTGATCAGCTTTCTGTGCAGTGTTCAGATGGCTCTACTTGGTGTTCTCCAATGCACTCGACACCACAGAATAGACTTTCACCAAATTTCAGCTATGCTGGATGCAAGGCTACTTAGCCACAAGATCTCCCAGAGGAACACCAGCATTTTTGTAAAGGTACCAGAATACATAGTATATGCTGCTTTCCTTCTTCTCACCTATATTCCTAATGCTAGCTTTGATTTCCTCCAAAACTTCTTTGCCCATAAACATTTCTCTTGTACATGAAATAATCTGCACCATGCAGGGCTTTTTTTTTTCCTTAAGTGGGAATTGATGTACTGTAATGAACATACCACTTTACATTTCTGTAAAATAAATTTGCTCTTGACCACAAGTCAGTTATTGCAGAGTTCTTCCTCCCTCTCCAATTTTTCATCTTCCTTTAGAAAATCCCATTGTTTTGACATGCCCATTTTTGGACCTGTGTAGGAGTTACAGAGGGATGTATATGGAGCCATTAGGAAAAAAACCCACTTTTTAAAATTTCTTTTCCAAAGACCAATAAAGTCTGGATTTTGTACTAGTCTCAACAAAAAATTCTTTTAATATCTATCTTATCGAATAGTTCTATCATAGTGTTAGGAAATGTTGCTGAAAGCAACACACACTCATATGGAGAAATTGCCAGAGCCTCTGCTATTGCAAACCTAATGCAATCCCACCAGAATCTGTGGAATTATATGCAGATTAAGAAGCGGTGAATTTGGCTTCATGTTTTATTATAAAACCCAGTTTATCCTCCTGAACGATGTGACACACAGGGCTGACAAATACAGATAAAACAGGGCTGTTACAATCCAAGGAGATGAATGCTGGGGGGGGTCAGCTAATGTTTGGGAAATGCTGTACCACTGAGATTTCTGCAAAACCGGCTGGATTGACTTGTTGGAGGAAGAAGTCCAAGATCCTTGTATGAGCAAGCATGAGTTGTGTCTCAGGAGAGAGGTGGAATCCCCCTAACTCATACCAGGCAGAGGTGATGATTTGCCCAGGGAAGGAGTAATCCATCAAACATTCACTCTACCCCCATCCAACCCTGTATCAGGACCAAACTGTGAGTAAAGTCAGAATAAAGTGTGGATAAAGCCAGAAGTCACCTAGGACAGGCCACCAGAGGCAAAAGGCCATTAGATGGAGCCACCGATGCATGGTGCAGAAACCCAGGTCACCTATCAGGGTCAGTTGAGCCAGCACTGAGCAAGGCACTTATATAATTTGTTTCCATGGCACAGACCTACACAAGGAAATTGAAATTATTTTGAAGAAGGCTTAAAGCAGCCCCATTTTAAAAAAGGTTCTCAGAACACAAAGTCTATCTTACACATGATGGCACTCCTTTAATCTTGGTGAGATGCTGGTGAGCCCTGTGGCACCTATTGCTAAGAGATCTGCTTGGGGGAGTGCTGTGTTTTCTTTGTGTATGGGCTCAGAGGCCATGCCTTGCTGGAAGAGGAGGAGATGCTGGCAGGGGGAAGCTCTGCGGGAGCTCTTCTGTGGGTGGTCTTTGCATGGAGGCTCTTGAGCTGATCATCTGTGTTGTATTATCTGGGCACAGCCTGCTGAGGTGGTTTTATCTGCCTGCTTCTGCTGTATTGTCTCCATCAAACCGGACTACGAATGCCAGAAAAAATGCTCCCTCTTCTCGCGTCCACCAACCAACCCAAAACTCTCTGTCAAGAGAATTACAGAGCCAAATAAAGTGACCACCTTGCAGCCACTTACAGAGCCAAAAAAGTGTCTGAATTGCATCCTTCAGGCATGGAACGATGAGAACAGGGGTGTATCTCCTGGAAAACATGCTCCCTCATTAGAAATGGACATGGGTAATGTGTTTTGGGCTCTCACACTAAATTTTTAAATAAAAAGTGAATGTTCCAGCTCCGGTGAAAAGCAGGTGATGTGTTAGCAGCCGCTGTGGCACGATGCGGTGCAGGGCTGGGGCTGGCGGCGGGGCGGAGCGTGGCTACAGCTCGTTCTTTACACAGCCCTTCTCCTCGGAGTGACTCGGGGACACGGCTCCTCCTTTTCACCAGAGGCCTGGAAATTCACAACATTTATGGAGTACAGAGGGGTAATTGACCAGAAGGCATCCTTCTTTACTTCGCTCGGCTGTTTTGGGAGGTATCTGGAGACACGGTGGGTATTTCATTCCAGATTATCTGCTGGAACTGATATTTTTATCTGCTGTGTACATTCAGTGCAAAAATGGTGGTTTTCAAACAGTAGAATAATTTCCATAGCCATGAATATTTTGAATGGTTGGTTATCCTGAATGCTTTGGACATTACTGTATAAAGAAATTTGGACTACACAGAGGAATATTTAAAAAACCTCCTGTTTGTAAAGGGATTATCTAGGTTATTTATCACACACACACACACACACACACACTCTCTGATAAGAAAAAAAATTAAAACTACAAGGAACTATTAAAGCTAACAGAGTGGCTCCAGTTACATACTTTCAGATGAAAATCAAAATTATAAATTGCTCTGGCCATCCAGTGGGATTTGGATCATACTATGGTGCCACATTAAGGCATTAATTGATGAACCTGTGGTAAGTCACCATTCATCAAAAGTTGTTCAGGTTTTTTTCCCAGACCACGGTTCTCTTGGTTCTCTTCCTCCTTTCTTTTTAAATTTTCATATCAGTATTCATTCTGTAGTATTCTAAATTAGGTAATTTAATATCTGGGATGAGGTCAAAACCTTTAAAATAATTCGTACACAGCACATGTATACACTTTCAACCAACAGTGAGGCAAGAAAAAGCCCTTACATTTACTCCAAANAAAAAAAAAAAAAAAAAAAAGACCCCAGCTTCACACAATTTAACATAATTGCAGGTCAGCAGCATTTGGTCTTGGTCAATGCAATGTAATGTAGAAATTGATTTAAGCAAGGCTTGGAAAATGTGCTGGAACCCCAAGCACATATTTTTTGAGCCTCTAAGGGCCAAGATGCACTAGCCATCCAACCCAGGGCCATTTGCTAATCTCAGATATGAGTGTGTAAATATGAATTATAGTTACTGAAATAATTTAATTAATAGATGAAATCAGTGAAATTTTTAAGGCTCTTCATCTGGTAAGTCTTTTTCCTATGTCTCCTTAGCTCTGAACAACAAAAAAGCTATAATTCAGGCTGGTATTGGAGCAAGCTGCAGCTGTTAGCAACTGGATTTAGCAGGAACGATCTAACTGGAGCTGTAATAGTAAATTTCATTATTTAGCTGTTCTGCCTTCCTAGGAGAAATGCCTTCCACATCATCCAGTGTACTTGTGCAATGGAGGAGAGAGTTTGGCAGGGCTGCTCCACAGGTGGTCAGGTGCCCAGCAAACTGCCCAGATACCCCAGGAACATCAGCTACATCCCAGCTTTGGGCCTCCAGCTCCAAGTGTAGTGTTGGGAACAGGTCCGCTTCATGACAGACCAACCCTTTAGACCCAGGACATTTAATCTGCCCTAGCACCTGCTTTATCTCCTTTGGTGCATGTCCTGCCATCCTCCTCCCGGACGTAGCCTTCGTGACACTCGCACCTGTAGCTGCCCATGGTGTTGACACAGATCTGAGAGCACAGAGTACCATTGCTCGTGGCACACTCATCGATATCTGGAGAGAAGCAGAAATTAAGAATGTCCAGTAGCTGGGGGTTTCAGACCTCTAACACAATAAAAGACTTCCTTTAAAAAGAGATTTTGTGGTTAAACAAGTAATTGGAGCTCTGCAATTCAAGCTGGAGCCTTTGGTCTGGAGCTCTGGGCAAACTGCACTAATATTATTATTAACACACATGGAAATTTATCAGAGAACATTGTTTGAAAGTCTCTTTCCATTGAAAAGCTCACAAGCAAAGCTCAATCCTGCAAACCTTGGCTCCCTGGCATGGCAAACATGCAGGGCAGGGCAGGACTAGCCACAGCAGGACCACATGTAAATTATATACTGGCCATCTGAATTAAACCCCAAGGATTAGTTTTAGTAATTAGGCCTAGTGATAATGTTTCAATATTCAGCATACATAGCTCACAACCACCAGAAGGAATTAAAGGAAAAATTGCATCAGCCCAGCACTTCAAAGTGTTTGCGGGTGTAAATGTTGTTGTAGGTAATACCTCCTAATAATTTCAGGGGCATCTAGATCTCTTAATTTGAAACACAGTTAACCCCCATATTTCTTCTGTAATAATATTGAGAATAAGAAAGTTTTCAGATCCAAACGGACTACTTAAAGACTCAAAGGAGTGGGATAAATCATTAACCAAGGAGGAGATCAACATACTCATCTACCCACCCAGGCAGTAAGGCTTCTCTCTGTTCCTGTGCCTCTCCCGATCATAGCGGTATCCAGGATAGCAAGTGCATAAGACTCTCCCAAAATTATCTGTGCACTGCTGTTCGCAGGGAGCTTCGGCGCAGACATCATAGTCTAAGGGAGAGAAAAACACGGTTAGGAAAAATACCAAAGTCAGTAGATGGATGATACTTAGATTGCAAACATTTAGCCTCTCTGCTAATTAATATAAAGTTGAGTTACATTGTTTTTAAGGCCTGAAGGAACCTAGACATAAAACATTCATTAGACATAAGCAAAGAAATATATTAAAACTGTAATTGCTGTTCACAGATTTACAGTAGGTAGACTATTTCTTAAAGTTGTGTTTTAAGCAAGGGTCCCTTTTGCATTTGGCAGATTTTAGGAGTTCTTTTCACAGAAATATTAAATTACCTAAAACATTATTTTAGTTTTCTTCAACAGATTTTTAAGTCTGATAGCAACATTTCCTATGCAGAAGACTGTGAAAAACCATGATGTTAACTGCCAAGGCAGTTTTCTGCCAGGCAGAAAGTATGCCACAAGGAAAAGGGAAAAGTTAATTACATCACATTAATTATTCGAAGACAGATATAACCCTTCTAGCAAACAGTGCATTGTTACAAACCCATCATCTCTCTTAACAGCTCCAGTGTGCACATCAGGGTATATCACTGAATTCCCAAAAGACTGAAGTCCCTGTTTGAAACCCAAATGAGTTTGGGTTTCTAATTTTACTGCTATGTAGCAGCAGAAGTGAAGCCTCAGGGATGGACGCCAGGGCACAGTGAGGTTTGAACCACATCCCTGTCCTGTCAGGGGCTGGATGTGCCCCTGGCATGGTGCTGGTGGCAGGGCTGGGGGTGAAGGACAACTCACAGGCTATGGCTGTGAGGGTTTTGCAGCACCATGGGGAACATCTGCCAGGAGACACCAGGACCTCAAGTGTCATCTGGTCTCAAAACCAGCTCGGGCACAGGTTGGCTGAGGTCAGGTTTTACACCAAAGCAAGTGGCAGTTTCTGTGACCATTTCAGAGAACATCACCCTGCAGAGAGCATCCATGTGGTTGTGACAATACAGTGAGTGGGCACTGGGGGCCGCAGCAGAAATATGTTATCCATGCTCCAGACCAAACCTGTCCAAACAACATCTAAGTTGTTCAAGCAAGTTTCCAGCAAAGCACTGTGTTTCCATACATATAATTAAAAGTCATTATTGACTCACCCTAATGACTAGCAGATACCTCTGGGTACGATGATTGCACCAAACAATTAAAATGAGCTAAGAGATGGTAAAGCAAATGAAAACACATTTTCTGTACTAAGTATATAGAGCACATGCCTAGCACTGACGTTAAAAGTGACAACATGCCAAAATACAGAAAAGCACAAAATGAGACTTAATAAGATGCTGTATCTCACACCAGAACCCATTAGAAAAAAAAAAAAAAAGTACTATTGTAATAGACATACTACTGTAATAGTGCCAAGCATTCTGTTTGTCACCTCCTTAATAGCAGGCATTCTTTCTTTCCTTCTTGCTTCACAACTTGAAGTCTGCCCACAGTGCTGTAATGGTGAATGGCAATGCTAGGACCCCCTGCAGTAACCAGTGTCCAACAGTGCAGGGCCATGAAATGAAAACATAACTCTTGCATTCAAACTGTTCAGTCTAGGGGTAGTTTGGACTCTTTAGGTGATGCTGGGCTGTAAACTCCTGTTACATTTGGCACTACTAAATAGTACAAACTTTAAAGCATTGCTCGTATTTTTCCTGGGCATGTTTGTAGTTTTTGTTTTCCACTGAAACAAAATCAGAATGAGAACAGGATGGTATGTCCAGCATGGAGGTGAATGTGCTGCTCCTTACCCAGTGTATCCACTCAGGTGTTGGACTTGGTCTGTGCCATGTTCAGAGCAGAGGTAAAACAAGCTCTGGCCTCCCTGTACTTTCATGAATAGATGTGCCCTAACAAAATCAGAAAAAAACAATGCTGGAAGGGGCCATCTCCCATCACAAGCAGGAGTAGCTATGCATAAACTGGCTTCCCTTTTCCTTAAGGGCTATGACTAGACTACTAGGCAATATGGCTCACTAGTAGTCTAGTCCCAAGATGAAATATTCTTGCAGACAGAAAGATTTCTACTCATATCTAATCCAAACTCCCCTTCCAGACACTTAGGCCCATTATATTTGCTGTCTTCTCCTCGGCCATAAAGAACACTTTACCTTCCCCCTTGCAGCAAGTTTTCACATACCTAAAACCTCTTATCAGGTCTCCCCTGAGCTTCCTTTTTTCTAGACTAAACAATGCCAGTTCTTTTTATCCATCTGTCACTAAATGTAATATAATCAGTCTTTGAATATGTCCACCTCAACACAGCTCCATCATGTCCATTGACCCATTTACTTTCACACAAAGCTGCGGAAGGGTCCAGGAAGGACAAATATCCCTTGATGGTGGTCCCACACAGCCAACCCAGATCACATAATGGCTGTAGGCAGGTCCCAGGTCCCAGAGGCATATTCCCAGGGCTTTGGTCCCAGGTAACATGACTTCCCTAGAAATAGTTCTCACAACTGAGATGAAACTAGGCAAAAACTGCTGCACCACCTGTTTGTGCTCTGCAGAACTGGAGGTGAACATTGCCTCCTGTGTTCAAACCCCTTGTTTGCCAGCCTAAGAAATATGGCTTGAGGAGGAATCAAAACCATACAATGAGGATCAGGCTGTTCCAGACTTTAGGAAAATGCAAAAGTCAAAGCAGAATAACAAATGTCTCTGTATAAGTTTCAATGAACTCAGAAATGATAATACAGCATGGAAAGTTGTACCAAGGAAATTTTTGAAACAACATTAGTAAGGAAAGAGCAGGTCTGACTATAGCTGGCCTGTAATAAAGTATTTTATTCTGAATTCTTCCACAGCCAACTCAGGAAACAAACCAGCAGTAGAAAGGGTGGTCTCCAAAATAAACTGCTTCATACTGCATCTTTCCTTTCTTCGCTCTATGACACCATGAGACAGGACCCAAGACCGGATTTGGCTGGAGCAGTGAGTCTCCAAAGCAAAGAAAAAGGAGATCACATAGAAGAAAAAGGTGAGGAGCTGGTTTTTTTAATCCACTTTGCTGAACAGGTGGAGCAGGAAGAGATGCTGCAGAAAGAATCAGACATGGAAGTAAATCCACTCAGTGTTTCCTGAGGATCATTGCTGCCTGGTCCTGCAGCTGAAAGCCACAGTGAGAAGGTGAGTACGAAACAGAAAAAATGCAGAAATTGGAGACATAGACTTATACTGTACTACACTGATTTCTGTTCCTTTTCAAGGGCAGATGAAAAATAACAGGATGAAAACCAATAAGGGTTTTTTTTGACAAATCTAGAAATCTTTGGGAAAGAATCTGTTTAAGGAACAGCTGCCCCAGAAGGAGATTGGTGTGTTCCCCAGGCAGCTATAAAAGGGTGGAAAAGGGAGGATCTATACCTCTGTCAAGCCTCCTCCCTGCAGCCACTGCTAAATCATAGAGAAGACAGGACTGGAACTACTTCTCACAGTCTTAATGTGCCAGTACTGGATTAAAAGGTGCAGATGTGCTTTAATAAACTCACATCTGTTATGCATTTATGTGTCTGTTTGGAGATATGGATTTCATACAGCTACTCTGTCAAGATTATGCCAAAACAATGTGTGAAGAGCCAAGTGATGTCTTGTAACAGAGTAAGTGAAATGAATACTTTAGTGAATCATGTTTCTTGTCCCTACACCAAAGGCCTGAGATTGTCTCAAATGTTATAGCAACTGCTGTGGACTCTGAAGTTCCAGGCAAAATACAGATAAAGCTGAAAAGAGGGAATGGAGAGACAAAGGGAGAGAAGCCACAGCCAGCAGAGAATTGAATTAGGGGCAGAAACTCTCAGGTTACTGAAATGCAGTTCAAAGACAGGATTAGACAAAGTCAGTGGACTGTGCTTTCATAATCACCTAATATCTCAAGAGATGAGAATTAGAAGCCAAAGTAATAAATTGTCACAGCTCTCATTTTATTTTGTTCCTATTAATTCTCTTGCTATATCCATTATATTCAGTGAATAGCCAACACATAAAATTCTTAAATCCATAGGAAAGCTGGAAGCCAGACTGTATAGTCCTGGCTTCTTTCCACCCTAAAAGGATTCAGAATTCTGCCTCCAATTCATACAACTGCCTCTTTCAAGTGTCCGTCTCACACTGGAGCTTTCACTGATATCACACACACTGAAACAAAACTCCCAGCAAAACCATGGGATGAGGACCTATGTGTGAATACCAATTTCACCCAAGCCCTACACAGTTCCTCCAGGCACAGGGTCATCATGAGTTGTTTTCCTCTTTTTTTCTCCCTGTCCCCACCCCCATCAGTCCACCAATTGTTTTAGTGTTTCTAGCCAGCAGCAAAGAAGACACAAATTAAAAACAACAACAGCAACAAACCCACAACAAACCCACAAGGATTAGAGTTTGGGTTATAACCCCTTTTGGCTGGACACTGCAACTCAAAACCAGCTGATTCTCCAGAATGTTGATTTGTCACTTTTTTCCCTAAAACATCACAGTGACAAACTAGGAAAATTCTCAGACCAAATCAATTTTCCATATATCATCAGTTAGAAGAATATGAGAATATGTTGTCACAGATCAAGTTTTTAACTTCCTTGTTGTAAAAAAAAAAAGTTTATTGGCATGTCATCTCTGGACACTTGCTCCTGTCTGGTAGTTCCTGTGGTCCAACAAATTCAGAGCCAGTTTTGTCCAAAGCAGATCCATTTTTATTACTGCATACTGAACTGTCGTGATTAAATCTGCATCTTACTTGGCCCTTGGTGATTAGGAAGCCATGCCCTTAGGAAATAACTCACCTACTCACCATCTTCCTGTGCACTGACAAGTCAGCTGTACCAGATCCGAGGGAAAAAAAGGGAAAGCCATCATCCGTGAAAGATGCACAGAGTTCTCCCAGCTACCCAGCCAAGGGCAGAACATGTTCTTCTGTGTGCAGAGCAGCAGGTCATGGCACAAGATCTGTGCAGCCATGTGCACTTAGGGGCAGATCAAGGCTTGGCATGCTAAGCAGCACTTTTGGAAGTTGTTGATCTTTTTATTTTCCAAACAATTCTTGGAAACAGCTCCTCCCCACAGTCATACATAAGATAGGGTGAAGCCTGTGCTTTTGTCAGGTTGCTCTTCCAAACAGACAATGTGGAGAAGACGGCAGATGGGGAAAGACAAATGCATGGGGACATGATGTGTAAGAACAGTGAAATCACATACCTTCAGGGATGCACTGTCCAAGAACAAACTTATAACCCTTACAGCATTTTTTCCTGAAAAACAATAAAATAAATAAATGAATAAATAAATGTATTCTCTATAGATTGGTGCTGCCTTTAGAAACAGCCATAAGTGGATTGTGGGTGTGATGAACCAAACCAGAGGAGGATCCTGAGCAGTTGGAGTTCAGCATTACAGAACACAATCAGGAAATGCACCACCTGGCCCAGGAAGAATTTCACATGGCAGCATGTCCAGCCACCTCAGGAGCCTGAGACAGAGTACCCCAACGCTGACCCACCCAATATCCCAAGTAATTTCCAAAAATCCTGCTCTCTTGTGTTGTCTGAATGTTGTCTGGACAGCTCAGTGCTATCCAAGTACACAACTCAGGTAATCATTTTCATGGTACAGTGAAGGCTGTTCTCAGGTATCTGTCACTACATTGTAAACCAGCAGGAAGGGATAAGTCTCAGCGAGGAGTACACAGAGAATAAATGTTATCAGTCATTTCTTGTCCTCTAATAAACCTGGTGGAGGTAAACTCAATATAATGGGTGTTTCAACTGGAGTAAGGGAGAATATCTTATATAGTTTGAGGTAAAACTGCAGTGTAGAGTCAATAGGATCAGACACCTTCTATGAGTCTATGATATGAGCAAAGTCTGAATGCTGAGAAATTAGTGTTTCTGACACAATGGCCTGTAATCACATTTACACATCCACCTAAACTTGCTGGTTTTCTCTCTAGGCAGAAAACCACATTAAATCACCAAGGCTCCCAGCAGCCCTCAGGAGCCTTTACAAATGTCTGTGTGCCTTATCATCCTGAGAGTCTCCCACTGCAGAGGCCTGGTGACTTTCAAAGGGTCTCATGTTGGTGACTGCCAGGGCTACTGAAAAAGAAAAAAACCTGCTGTTCCGTGCATTATTTTCATCAAGTATACATGAATCTGAGGGAAAAAAAATCCCTCAGTATTTTACAAATTCATAGTTTTTTCATGCTTTGTGGACATACTGAAGTATCTCCCAAATAGGGAAACCATCCATTCTTTCTTTTCCTTTGATTCAATAACTAATGCAGAAGAGTGCTAAAGCCATGTCAGTCAATGACATGACACTCCCTTGGACAACATGTAGCCATCACAAATCATCATTATGTTGAATTTAAATTAACTATCAGTAGCAACTGACGGCTTAAAACAAATGCATTTCTCCAAACAATGTAAAAACAAACTTTGGCTCCATATTTTACCCTCTTCCTAAGATTAGCTGGAATATAAATTATGCCTAATGAGCATTGAACATCTGAAGAGGAAGCTTTGCTTTGCTGTACAAACAGTGGTGCCTCATTAGACTTCTCTCCAAACACTGCTGTGAAGTTTTATCTGCAAGACAAACAAATGCAGGAGGAATGAGTTCAAAGGTGCATTGGGGAGGCCGTTCATATGCTGCAAGCGCTGCTGATGGCTTTGCAAGTGCACATTGATCTCCTTCTGTCTGCAAAAGAAAAGAGGCTTCCTTGTAGCTGCTCTTCAGAGGAAGATACAGCCCAGCTTGAGAGGGCTGGGAGATAAGCAAGGAGAGGAGGACGTCCCTGCCATGAGATTCTGGCCTGTGGGGTTGTGCCAGCTAGAGCTAACCAGCCACAGGGAGCAACAACTTCCATAATTTGTACCATTCTCCATGGAATTTCCACCTTATTTTCAGGTTTAGGACCAATAAGACCTGTGTCAGCAGATGATATGATAACCTACTCCTGGGTAAGGGGCTACCTGCTGGGAGCCTAGCAGGAGCTGCCTCCCTACTCTCAGCTTGTGGTCATGGTTTTTAGCTGGATTCATTTGCTTTCTTGTGGCTAAAATGACGTTTTATCTGCCTGACTGGATTCCCCCAAAAGCCAAACCACTTGTCCTGATCAAACTCTTCTTCCACAGCTGTACATTGAGAACCCATCACATACCAGGTTACAGCCATTAAATGCTGCTCTGGCACCCTGATATTGCCCTAAAGCAAGCACAGCCTTGTGCTTTAGCTTTCACTTAAAACAGCTAGAAAATCATGTTCCCCTGGCTGATATCCAAGTGCTTGCTAAAATCCCTCTCTTCAGCAACTTCTTGCAGGAATGGGTTCCACAGTGGGATAAGGCAGTTTTGAGAAACAATTTCCTTGTTTTCAATGTCCCTCTCAAATTTTTGTTTGAATTTTCCCAAGCCTTTCTGATAAGGAGATTTTGAAATATTTTCTCTAGATGTGTGAAGATTTTTCTGTATTGTGGAAGTTTTAAATTATACTTAAATAAGTGTTTAGAACAGGGATTCCATGCCTTCAGACCACATTCCACATGATAATCTCTTCCCAGTTGAAAGTTACAGACCTCTGCATTAGTGCAGCCTGTACTTAATAGCACTCTTATCAGCATGATTTTGCCAGGGAAACTGCTACTTTAGGGTTAATGCAAAGGAAATACAATACAATACCTGTTTCTCTGAACATTACATTGCAACCCTGGGATTCCTGCATGCTTCAGCTTTCTACATTCTTAAAGTGAAATCAGTCAAAATGATGGACACATGAGTATTTGCAAAGGCATTTTAATAGCAACATTCATTTTCAGATGTCCAGGTCCAGGCTGACATGTCTAATCACCGTTGCACAGCAGCAATCTCATACATAATGAGAGGTAAGAAGGGGCTCCTACTGATAATTTTAGCTACTGGATAACTTTCAGCGAGGTGGTTGCTATGCAGCTGTACATGTGGCCATGCATGAAACACAAACACGCAGCTGTGTATTTGAAGCTTCACCACTAAAACCTGGAGCTCTGGGAAAATTAGGTTGATTTGCTAACCTGAAATATGGCTTACAAAGGATGAAGCTTCTGGCAGACTTTTATCTGTAGCAGCTTTTAATGGGGTACTTCAGCAATTAAAAACACAGTAACTTTTGATTCTCATGCAATCTTTACTAAGGATAAATAATAAGCCCAAACTGGCAGACGGTTTGGGGTACCATGATTTTGATTAATGCAATGTCCAGCTTCTGTGGTTGTAAGAAAATCTGTAGTGGATAGGGACACCCCCAAAGCCAAGTCACCCCTTATTTCTTCTGGTGGGTAGCTGCTGGAGAAACAGGGAGATATTGTGCTCCTCTGCTCTGGAGTTTGAGATGCTTCTGGAAGACTAAGTGCCAGAAGACGGGATTTAAGGTCAAACTTTTGATACCAATAAATATATCTACGACTAGGGAAGTGGCAGATCTATCTCTTTTTTTCAGGATTTGTGGCCTATTACCTTGCAAACTGAGAGAGGAGCTGAGCTTTCCAGGAGCTCCCCTGTGTCCCATCACCCATAGGCCCCCCAGAGTGCCCAACACACACAGGGGTGTCTCACAGCACCCTTGCCCCATCCTGCAAATCAGTAGCTGCTTGATAGCATTGCCTCAGACAGGCTGGACAAGAGGCAAGATGGGAGGAATGTGGCTTAATTAAGCCACTGCTTTATTAAGTCAGCTTATCTGGCAGCTATCAGCAGTGAGTCATCCAGCAAGGACCATGTTTTTTTTTCCCCATAATTGCTTCCACCTGGTGCAGAGCTGCCATCACTGCAGCCCACCTCCGGCTCTGCACGGGCCACCACAGTGACACTGGAGACACCAACGAGTGCATGTTTAACCCTCAAAATTAATACACTGTGTGAGAGGAGAGGGAGTCTCTCAGGGTCCTACAGCTGCTGAAAATGTTCAGAAATGCAAACAATAACAGGATAAACATTTTAAATTACAATTAACCTGCATCTGTTTGCAGTAACATGGCAGTGAGCTGGGTTATAACAACAGCTGCTCCATGCATTTATTGAGGTTTTGGAGAGGCAGCTCTAAATCTCTGCAATGAGTCATGATGAAAAAGATACATGATCATCATTTAGTGATTGAAAAAAGGGAACACAAAGGGGAAATGCAAAGAGAAGAAGAAAAATACAAGTTTAATACTGGTTTCAGACTAAACATAATATGTTAAGGAAGCTCTTGCTAAAGACGTCAAAAGTAGAAAGAGAAGAGTCTGCTCTAAGAAATATTTGCCTCCTAGGAGCAAAGCAGACAGAGAAATCTCTGTGCTGAGCCCAAAAGTGAGTTCTTAGGATAAAATATTTTCTTTACTTTATCACTAAAATACTGACAGGCAGTCAGTTTCCAGGTTGACTCCTCCCAGACAGAGGTAGTTCAAGAAGAGGAACTTTACCTCCCATTCACTGGGGCTAGGAGAGCACACATAAACAGTTTCTAGAGCTCAGCTGAGGTCTGAGGTCATGCCACTGGAAGATGCAGCAACTCTATAGGTGGTCAGGCAGGTCAAATCTTTCCTCTCCAAAACACTCTTTCTGACCTATAAGTGTCAGATCAGTTGCAATTTATGGGGCAAAAGAGATGCTTAGGATTTCATACAGACTTAAATAGATCAGAACTGCTCTTTCAAGCTGGTGCTAGTAGAAAGCAATGATAATACACTCAGGAAATGTCTTTAATAAAAAACCTATTTCCTGTTGGGAAAGGTGAGAACTTTTTTCAATACCAGACTTCTTCAGCCTAAATCATAACTTGAACTTAGAAGAACTTGTGCTGCATTCTGAAGACCTGGCAATTACACCTGGCACAGTGTTTCTAATTGCATAAAGGGTCTTTGTTAGTTCCCTCTCCTTATTGTTCCTGCCTGGTGTTTCCTTTTTGATTACCCTGGCTTTAAGAAATAAATGGTTTAGCAAAAATTCAAATATAAAATACAGAAATGAATGTACAAAAAATAATTAGACATCGCAAAATGCAAGCCAGCAAGGTTCACTAAAAAACAAACCTAACAAAACCAACCAGAAAATTCACTTTTCTCCTATACGAAATCCAAATGAGCAACAGGTTTGTCTGCCAAAGCATGCACAGACAAAGCCCATCTGCAGCACAAGTACAGCAGCTCAGTAGCTGTGCACAGTTTTGCCGTAATTCACATGGAGAGAAGATTTATGTTGACATGGTGTAAAACTGAAGCAATGCACTCTATTTT